TTGAATAGGTAGCGATATTATGAATTTATTATACGTAATCTAAAGATTTTGACGAAATAAAAGTAATTAGTTATCTGTTAACCTTGACTTCATGCTGGCACCAGTATTATCAGATGATGAACATACTCTTCGAAAACTTACAGCAGAAATATCGTGTTTGGACTCATTAGATAGGTCTCGATGAATAGAGTTTAAAAAACTTAAAATAAATGGTAAATTAGAAATAATGTATAAATACCCCTTACGTAAAATTCAACCACTTTAAACTTAATAATAATAATAATTAGGAAAAGAGAAAAGCTATACATGCACTGAAAGTAATTGATGCCTTCCACACAATATTTTCAGTATTAAACAATTGTTCAGTAAAAGTGTAAATACACTGGTAACCTTTAATCATATTTTATATGCAAACATTACATATACAAACCCTAAAGTTTTATTTCAGAATGGCCAGTAGTTTTGAAGAAATAAGTCTTTGAAATTGTACGTGTAACTTATATATATACTAGTTTTTCCACCATAACAAACAACACCAATATGGCCTAGTTAGTAGTTTACCTGTGTACCATTTAATAATAATAGTAATCTCAGGACAATTCACACAGCTACATCTAGACCCAAGTTAAGCTAGCTGAAGATTATGTTATGGGTACTAGACAACTGATATAAATACAAAGATTTTTTTCGTAAATACATATATATTATCTATACATAGAAAACACCCAGACCGTTACAAACAATCCTACTCATGAATACAAATGTTTGCAGCGTGCGAGGAAACGAACCCTCGACCACCAAGCAGGAATCAAAGCAGTGTGCTAGCTAAATCGCTAGACTACCGACAACTAGCTGTACACGCGACTTCGTCCGCGTGGAATTTAACTTCTTATATTTTAGAAAAATAAAGTTAAATTCCACACGGACGAAATCCCGTGTACAGCTAGTCATCAATAAAAAAACACGTAGGTATCTCTAATATATTATACACTAGCTGTTCCCGCGACTTCGTCCACGTGGTTTTTAACTTTATTTTTCTAAAATAAAAGTAGCCTAAGTTACTAGGTAGTACCCTTATTACATCAGCTACCTGCCAAAAAAAGTCCCGTCAAAATCGGCCCAGCCATTTTAGAGATTAGCCGGAACAAACAGACAGACGGACAAAAATTGTAAAATATGTTATTTTGGTGTATGTACCGTATTTATATTCATATGCAAGTAGTAAAAAACGGTTATTTCAATATTACAAACAACAGGCTTCAACATTCTCAAGTACCACAAAAAAGATGTTTTTTCTATCAAATAAACCGTTTTTATTAAAAACAAGCTGTTCCCGCGACTTCGTCCGCGTGGAATTTAACTTTATTTTTCTAAAATAAAAGTAGCCTAAGTTACTCCTTATAAATCAGCTACCTGCCAAAAAAAGTACCGTCAAAATCGGTCCAGCCATTTCAGAGATTAGCCGGAACAAACAGACCGACAGACAGACAGACAAAAATTATAAAAATTGTTATTTTGGTATATGTACCTTATATGTATTCATATGCATGTAGTAAAAAACGGTTTTTTCAATATTACAAACAGACACTCCAATTTTACTTATATGTATAGATGTATAGATTATTATTTATTTATTTATTTATTCATCCAAAATAATACAAATTGTGTAGGATAACGTAATTGTAACATTACAGTAAAATTTTGTCAACAACATAATAGCAACTTAAATATTAAATCTCGGTATATCTATAGACTAGCTGGCCAAAGCGACTTCGTCCGCGTGAAAATTTATTTTATTTTTCTAAAATAACAGTAGCGTAAGTTACTCCTTATTACATCAGCTACTTGCCAAAAAAAGTCCCGTGAAAATCGGTCCAGCTATTTCAGAGATTAGCCGGAACAAACAGACAGACAGACAGACAAAACTTGTAAAATATGTTATTTTGGTGTATGTACCGTATTTATATTCATATGCAAGTAGTAAAAAACGGTTATTTCAATATTACAAACAGACACTCCAATTTTATTTACATGTATAGATGTATAGATTAAAAAAAAAGTAACAGTCATAAGGCTAGTCGTATGCCTAATATATATAATAATGTAATAAATTCATGTAAACAGAAATTGCGGGAACATTATTTAAATTTGTAACTTTTTTACTGTCCTTCTCCTTTTTTCACATCTTTCTGTTATATCCCTATAGTTCTCTCTATATGTTTTTCTTACTTTCAATTTGAGACTGTACTTATAATTTGATTATCGGATCATTATGTATTCATTTATATAGAATATTTATACATTTATGGGTTATATTTACATATATATTTATGTATGTATATTGTTATTTTTTTATAAAAATTTATATTTTGCTTTGTATTTATATATCTTTTTTTGACATTTCTTATTTATATTAGTGCACCGCCAATAATCTTTTTCTGCACCACTCATAGTTGCCTGGTAATTAACGCGGCAAGATATTACGTCCACCACATGTACAAATTTTTTTGTGCATTAAAGTTAAATAAATAAATAAAAATACACTACTGTTTAATGAAAATGCGTATTGTCTAGTGCTTCGAGATGTATCAATATAAGGTCAACAAAAAAGTCCGTGATGGTATATGTCTATCTCTTAAGGATAACCAACAATAACCATTTTTTATCTTTTACATTTTACGGGAATTTTTTTTATCGTATGTTTCCCTTAAAATCATGTAAACTATGTTATTACGTCATAATCTAAAGAAATAATAATATTTTATAGTGAAATATCCACTATAAAATAGTAATGTAAGTAGCAATGTAATTCGTTACGCGCGAATCAGGTGTTATAAGGTCAAAGGTCGGTGCACCCCGCGCATTTGATAAATAGTGCTTCTCTGGATGTCTTTAAGAGAAAATGGCAGTATGTACGTGTATATGTACAAGTCCTTAAGTGTTAAGTTTTTCAAATGTACAATAAAGAATAAATATTTTTAAGTACAGTACTTACGTACATTAATATAATACCTACTTTTTACTTGTATCTATTGTCATTAAAATTAAATTATAAGTTCTTAACTTGACCACGACTATGTGACCCTCTCTTGGCGCCAAAACGAGTGAAAAAATGAACAGCATACGACGACGACGCATACCTATAGAGTGGAGCAACTGCTTATTCAGTTTTATTCAACTATTTAGTCCCTCCACCGTTACAATGAATGGAGGCGCATATTACAATGTACGTAGCATTGCGAATATAAAATATCTAGATTAGGTATAATAAATTCATAATTGATAGTCCGTTACGGTATCAGAGCCAAAAAGTCTTCTTTCTTTGTTTATGTACTGTTAGATGCGACAGCGACTTTGTTTTATACTACACTATGTAATGATTGATATACCTAAAATAAATAAAATATCTGAGGTTTGGACAAAAATTCAAAAGGTACTTTATTTTGAAAAAGTATTTTGAAAATACCTATTTTGCATTTAGTATTTGAAATACAAAACACAAAACTATTTTTGTTTTTAGAGTGACATTTCTATGAATTCACTGTCGATAGCGAGCGGTGCGATGGAAAAAGATAACCGTTTATAAAAATATAATAAATAGCCCTGGACAATTAACACAGACTGATACTGAACTGATATAAATAGATATTTTTATTTTGTAAATACATATATAATATACATATAAAACACCCAGACCGATGAAAACAATCGATGACCGATGAGTACAAATGTTTGCACCGTGCGAGAAATCGAACCCGTGACCATCGGATGTAAAGCGGTGTGACCACCGAGGCAGTCGAAATATATAAATAATCTTATGAATTTAATTTATTCTAATTTGTTTGTGTGCGCGGGGTGCGGTGTACGGTGCTCCCCCCTGCCTCCACCGTTGCTAGAGCTTGCATGTATGGAGCATTGCGAATATAAAATATCTAGATTAGTAAATTCATAATTGATAGACCGTTACGGTATCTATATATATTCTGATTAAAATAAGTATCGCAGTAAGGACCAGTATATAAAGTGATCAACACAATTAATTGATTTTTGAAATATATATACAGAGCCAAAAAGTCTTTGTGTATTCAAAAAATATCTAATTTGTTTGTGTGCGCGAGGTGCGGTGTACGGTGCAGGGGGGACCCTGCCTCCACCGTTGCTGGAGCTTGCATGTATGGAGCATTGCGAATATAAAATATCTACATTAGTAAATTAATAAATTCATAATTGATAGACCGTTACGGTATCTATATATATTCGGATGAAAGTAAGTATCGCAGTAAGGACGAGTATATAAAGTGATCAACATAATTAATTGATTTTTGGAATATATTCAGAGCCAAAAAGTCTTTGTGTATACCAAAAATTTAGCCGTTCGGAGCCATTCAGTCACGAATTATTAGTAAAAAAAGTGTCGAGTATATCGTACTATCGACGAATATATATGGCCGCATCGCAAAATAGAATGCGACGTTGCCATACCGCCTGAGATATACGCGATAGGTGTGAAGTTATTCAGTGCAAAAGGTGGAATCAGCAAGTGTTTCGCTTGTGGCGTGATCAACAAAGTGCCCAAAGAGGTGTTTATATATATATATATATATATATAATATATATATATATATATAATATATATTATTATGGTCCTATTTCTCAGTTTTTACTGGTTTGTTACGGTTGGTGGTGTATACCACGCTTATGGTCCGAAGCCCATTAATGTGTATGTACCTATATGTATGCATGTCTTTATGAGTGTCACATATACCTATTGTTATTATTATATGAAATCACACCTTACGTAAAAAAGTCACGATAAAATAAGAGTATTTATTATACTTTCCAAATTTATTCTACATACTAACTCTCAGGTGCTTAGTTTGAACCAATCCGAAATAAATAATGACTGCTAAAATAATTTGGTAATAAATCAATCAGAATCTTTCCAATCTGGACAGCAAGTAAGGTTAATGAAATTTTCAGTATAGAAAATATTACTAAACCTGCATAACATCTTCTACATTTTTAATTCTATACATCTCTCCCTTGTGATGTTGCATTTCATATGTTGTGTTCTTCCAAACTTCTCTAATTGTTTTTAGGCCATTTTCAATGTTAAGTTCCATGGTAGCAGCCTTTGATATCTCAGCGATGTCTTCTGCATGAGCTTGAAAGTTCAGACGCATTATCAACTCTAGTTTGAAATCTTCAGAATCTTGATCGAATTCTCTGTACAATTACAAAAAAGAGATAAACGAGTTAAATATTTGTCAAATATTTTGACAAATATTTAACAACTGTACCCATTTCAAATGAAGGATAGTAATCCAATAAATAAAAAACAAAATTTGTTAAAGTACTTCATTCTGTACCACTTGTGCCAGCGGTTTCAACTGCCTGAAATTTATAGCCTGTGTTATTTTGATATATAAGCTATATTCCTGTAAAATTTCATCAAAATCCGTTTAGTAGTTATTGCGTGAAAAAGTAACATATATAGTATAGTATACATTCATCCATCTATTCATCCATACTCACATACTTTCGCTTTTATAATATTAGTAAGATACCAGTGCAAATTGAACTGTTATTTTCAGGAAAATTTGAAGTTGAGTTCAAATATTGACACAAAAATATTCCTGTAATTAATAATAATAGACAATATTTATTTTTTCCACATAACATTGTACAAACTATACAAAACAAAACATTTCTGAGTTTTTTTTTATTTAATATTTTACGGCTCTGGATACAAGTCCTTTTTAGCCCAACATAAAATACAAAAACTTAAAAAAAAAATTATAATTTTTTCCCAGTGTTGGAAATAAATATATCAGAATGTATACCACATTTAAAATCATTACGGGAGGTAAGTGCTAGTTAGGTAATATTATGGGCAAAATATATAGCTGTTTTTATAATATTAGTAGTAAGTAGAATTAATAATATATAGAAACTAACACTCCCATAAGTGTTTTAATTCTATCCCAATGGCGTTCTCTCATACATTGATTTTTCAGATCGCCAATTAAAGGAAGAGTTCTTCGAAAAGCATCCACCTTTATTCTATCTGTATCAATAATATCCCAGCCCTTATCCTTGAGTTGACGCGAAAGTCGGTTGAAATTCCTAAAACATATATTTGTTCCATTACGTAATAAAAATGTATTCATTTTATCGAATCAGGTGTTATTTTCCGGAAGTTATATTTATTATTTAATTGATTTATTATCAGCATATGGGAGACCACAAATGAGAAACTACCACTAGTGAAAGCGTTACGAATAAAGACCTCTATTGGTGATCAGATTCCGACCGTTATTGAGTTTACACTCATATTGCGACACGTGTTTGGCCTCTGAACGAGGCATCATAAAGCATTGAATAGAGTTCTTTCTGTGTATTTTGTGCAAAAGATGTGTTGCAATTTGGGTGTACACTAAATGTTACTCGAAATTTGATCAGTAATAGAGGAGGTCGTAAGGCTACCAGTAGCGGTTGTCAGGATTCCGCATTGAATATTTGTGGTCTCACACATGGCAATGATTAAACAAAATAATATAAATCCATTAAGTAATTACTATATTTGTAAATTTATTAAATAAATATTTTAAAATTGATAAAATATAATGTATATACAAATACTCATTCACCGAAATAAGAACATAACATTATCCTCCATTTCACCAGTCTCCATCTCCCAGAAAGTCTGTGTTTTATATTTTTCCCAGGACTCCTCCCACTGGAATACTAAGCCCCAAACTTCCTCTAATTTCTCCAGTTCCTTCTCCATTTTTTGAAGGTCCAGGTTCACTGGGGTCCTAGAATGATAACAATATAATATTTATTGAATTTTAAAGAGATTTATGTCCGATTTCTTGGATAATCAAAATAAATTTACTGTAACCTAATACCTAAATATGGATGAACCTAAAAATGAACATAGTAAGCTATACTTAGCTTACTATGTTCATTTTTAGGTTAGTAGGGTCTAAACTAACATATTAACATTAATATTGCTAAATACGTATATTTAATTACAATAATCAAAAATGGTCATTAGTAATTTATAATAATTTACGTTAAATTAAACACGGCTAGTCCATCCCGAATTTGTTGCTCTTGGGCTCGTAATGCATTAAGTTGGTCTCTGAAAGCTTTGAGTTGAGCCATAGCATCCTTGCCATTAATGTCCGAGCTACAAGGAGCAGTCTTATAAAAGTCTTCGCAAAATTCTTTTGCAACTTCTTTGAATACCTGATAATAATTGTATAATTATGGATTGTAAATGGGAGAAACAATATTATAACATATATCCCTGGATAATTCACACAACGACATGTAGTCCCAAGCTAAGCAGAGCTTGTGTTATGGGTACTAAACAACTGATATAAATCCTTACATTTTTTTGTAAGTGTATACATAATATAGAAAACACCCAGACCGATACCAAGAATCATACTCATGAATACAATGTCCCGAGCGCGGAATTATTTCGCGTCCATTAGAAATAAAGTGGTGCGCTAAACCGCTAGCCCACCGAGGTTGCCGAATATTCTAGCTAAAAGACAAAGACAGGTAGGATACGAGAAACTATATATAAAAAATTACCTCCGCCTGTTCCAATAGCTCAGTCTTAAACTTATCCTTGTTCATTTCTAATGCTTTCTTTGCTTCTTCCAAAACAGCTAAATATTCTGCCCAAATTACAGGGATATTTTCGTGGCGTGCCACCATGTCTGAACTCAATTCAACTTCAAATTTTCCTGAAAATAACAGTTCTATTTGTACTGGTCATCATAATCATCATCATCGCAGCCCGGAAAACGTCCACTGCTGGACATAGGCCTCCCCCAAAGATCTGCACGACGATCGGTCCTGCGCTGATCGCATCCAATGCCTTCCAACGATCTTGGCCAGATCATCGGTCCACCTTGCTGGAGGCCTTCCTTGTACTGATATCTTACTAATATTACAAACGCGAAAGTTTGTGAGTATGGATGGATGTATAGATGGATAGATATTTGTTAAACTTACATGCAAAAACCACTAAACAGATTTTGTGAAATTTACAATAATAAAGCTTATGCATCAGAATAACGTATAGGGTATAAATTGCATGCAATTAAAACCGCGGGGACAGCTAGTGCAAATTAACTTTAGATTTCGCTGATGGACTAATACGGTATTTATTTCTTACATAGATACTTTAAATTGAAAAACATCTATTCAAAAGAGCAACACACAAGTTTCTTGCTCATTCTTCTTGTGACGAATCTGCGTTCCGAATGAGTGGTAGAATCAAAATTATGACTATTCAAAAGTGCTTGTATGGAGTTTATTTGAATAAAGATTATTTCTATTTCTTTAACGCTACTTATTCTATCTGATTAAGTACATAAATTACCAAGGGCACAAATAACATACCAAGGGTCAACATTTCGTCTGCGATTGGCGGAAAAGTTTTCTCAAATCGACCAACATCAGATACTAAGCGCTCGTAAGTTGCTATTGCAGTTGCTAGCTCTTTTAAATCTGCAGGCATCTGTAAATGTAATTCATGTTGCTTTAAAAATAAATCAATCGTTTGATTCGAGTTGAAGTCAAAATCTTACTAATATTAAAAACGCGAAAATTTGTGAGTATAGGTAGATGAATGGACGTTTGTTACTGTTTGACGCAAAGCTACAAAATGGATTTTAATGAAACTTTACAGTAATATAGCCTATACATAGTACATAGGCTAAAAAATTCGCGCAGGTATAACCGCGAACACAGCTAGTATCTAATGAGAATGTAATCTAATGAGAAGCATCTTTTACAAAATATATATAACAAAATCGCTGCCTCAGTCTGTTCGCTTATATCTTTTAAATTACGCAACGGATTTTAATGCAGTTATCAGCCATCGACAGAGTGATTTAAGAAAAATGCTTATATGTATAATACATGTGTGTTACAGTATAGAACAAGCCGAGAAAAAGATTTGTAATGCATTCGTGCAAACCTGGACGGGTCGTTAGTTACGTATAAATCGCATTCAAAAATACCTTCATTGCTTCCTCGCTGCTTCTTTCTACATAAGCATAAACATTGTCTATGTCTTCTTCTGTAATTTTTCTTAGTAATTCCCCTAGTTTAACTTGCCATTCCAAACAATGCGAAATAATCGATTTCTTCAGATTGCTCGAGTTAAGAGTTATGAAGTGTATCTATAAAATAATGCGTAACTTTAAACAGTCATGTTCGCTATAAAGTTCAAACTTTCCCGGGTCTTATAGATGATAATGGAATGGTGCACCCGTTTACGCTACAAGTTCACGCTGGAAAGGCACCAGTGGAGGATAATAAGATGAACATGTGGTCAAATCAGTTAGCCCATCGTGGTAAATTCACCATAAATTTATTACGATGGTTTCTAGGTGAAACCACATGGAGGTCTATGTGACATAGTATATTGCTAGCAATGGGGTTATTAGTCCAAACTACTCAAACTCCTTCCCCCCAGTAGACCCGGGTAAAAGTGCTCCCTCTAATATGAGTGCAAAGATGACTGGCTCATCCGTCATACTCGTGAATACATATATAGGGGTAAGAGGATTGTTTAAAATGTGAACTAATTACCCCACTACTAGCAATGTACCAACTCGTTTTGATCTCCACGCGATTGACCCTGAAATAATCCTGATAAATTCCTGGTAAATTTACAACGATATCCCATCATTGTAAATTCACTGACTGACTGACTGACTGACCTGACTTCATGTTCCTCTTATCATCCTCCATTGGTACCCCATCAGCATAAACCTTTAGCACAGGTGGGAATACCATTCCATTATCATCCATTAAAAAAATATTCATATATTCAATACATACTTGATTGACTGTCTCTTGAATTTGCACGGCATTGGCTAAGTTACCGTAATTAACTATTAAAGCATCAAAATCCACTGCTGTATGATTTTCTTTACGATACTGATCTAAAAACTCATTCTTATCCACCTTCCATATGTGAGAGTAAGGATCCCACATTCGTATGTGATCATTCACAAGGTTAATATTATATTCGATTTCTGGAATGAGAATTTTTAGTTTAATTATGTGATATTGGGCTCAGTGGTTCTAGCGGTTTAATACACCGTCTTACTTCCGATGGTCGCGGGTTCGATTCCTCACACGGCTCAAACATTTGTATTCATAAGTTTGATTGTTTGTATCGGCCTGGGTGATTTATATGTGTAATATGTATACGTGTTTACAATAAAAATGTATCTATGTATCTTTATTAATTGTCTAGTAATCATACAAGCTCTGCTTAGCTTGGGACTAGATGGCGCTGTGTGAATTGTCCATGAATATTATTATTATTATTTACCCGAGTCAATTAAAGACTGCAGCTTGTTACAGTCCGCATCAACTTGTATAGCTTCATAAAATCTCTTCAAACCTCCCGCAGGTAAAGCAAATTTCTCGTATAACCTCGGTATAGTACTGGTTATATGGACAATTTCTTCAAGAATTGTTGTAAACGTGTCGCCAATTTCATGGGGCGTTGGAATGAATACTATGGCTTTATTACTTAAATACAGATCCATTTTAATGAGAGGGGATGGCGCCATTGTTCCTAGAATATGAAATTTTGGATAAAGTATCTTCTAAATAGCAAAAATCTTGTCCCTAGATGCACTTATATTGCTGTTAACTTCCATAACTTTACATACATAAGCTAACTTTAATTGATTTAAGTTAAAGGTCCAAGATACTCTCGAGTACAGGTAAGTCTTGCCTTGTCTAATAAATAAAACCTCGACATTCAACGCTCCGATCAGTCCCCTGTCCAATTCAAGCAAGGCTCAAAATTATGGCAGCCTGAACGGAGGTTTGAACCCATAGCGGCGCACTCAGACTACAGTCTGTATTTGTCAGGCGGGACTTGGCCTTCAGCCACTTCATAAGTCCTTCGACGGGAGTGCCATCTGCACTCGCCCCCTATCGTTCGGTGAAGCTGTAAAGACCAGCTGCGGTCAATAGCATTAGAGTAGTCAAAAAAAATCTGTAATGGCATTCAGTGCAAGGTGGCTGAAACAACCTGACGTGGCATAGAAATTATTATTATTGTTTTGTTTTTGTTTAACTAATTCACTTAAATCTCAAGAATGCTATTAGTAAGATTCAAAAGTGGTAAAAAAATCATACCATCACCATGAACACATCTATACATATTCTGCATTGTCGACTTTATACATAATCTTAATGCATCTTCTAAAAGACTGTCAAATCTTCTGACATATTTGATCCAATGCTCAGCCATCTGTCAAATTCAATATGTTAAAGGTTCTTTTTTCTCTAATATCTAATATGTAAAACTCTAGTGTAGTTTATCTCCGTTTATCTTAGCGTGGCTTTGTTATCATACTCCTCCGAAATTACTTTACCGAAACGGCTTTTATCAATTTTGTGTACATAACAGATAGGTCCAAGAATGCGCCAACACCTATTTTTCATACCCCTCAATGATAAGGGTCACCATATTTTTTTTACAAAAATACAAAGAATTTAAAAGTTCAAACTTTTAAATTCTATGTATTTTTGAATCCTAAATATATTTTTTTATTTAGTTGACACAAAAAAAATATGGTCACCCTTATTATTGAGGGGTATGAAAAATAGATGTTGGCGCATTCTCGGACAATCAACCCCTATTTTTGACATTAATTTATATGGCCGAACAATGTTTGCGGGATTAACTAGTTAATAACAGATGTTCTATAGACAACTCACCCAGCGCCATCTAGTCCCAAGATAAACAGAGCTTATGTTATGGATACTAAACAACTGGTATATATACTTAGATATATTTTTTAAATGCATATATAATGTACCTAGAAATCACCCGGTAAATTTCTTCATAATGTGTTCAGTAGTTTTTGCGTGAAAAATTATCAATCATCCATCCATTTTTCTATCCATACTCTAAACTTTCGTGTTTATACTATTTGTTACGTTTACATTCAGCTGCTTACCCTGCCACTCGCACTGCCGGAAATATTGCCGCGTCAGCGTCGACGGGAGTGGACGCGAGTAAGTGTCAATTACCTTACCTTCTGCTTAAAACGCCAGGCGACAACTGAGTGAGAGGGCTGAATGTAAATACACGCTGCCACTCGCGCTGCCAGTCCTTTGACTCGCACACGAAAAACCGACAATCGAGGGAGAGCCGGGCAGCGTGAGTGGCAACGCTAATGGCATGGGAAGTATCGGGTTTACACTCTCGCGCTGCACACTTCCCTGCCCACTCGGGCTGAGTGAAAATTGGGCTTGTAAGATCTAATTACCTGAGTAATATAAGCTTCGAATCCTTCATAAACAATCACGAGATACGTAATTATTTCTTTGTACATATCCAAAATTTTTGCCGCACCTTCACTCTCCATGGTACGAATATTTTCTCGAAATACATGTATTTCAAATATATTATAATTGTCAAATGCTATGAATGGCGTGGCGCACACTCTTTCCATTATTTTGACTAGATTAACGTTACAATTTTTATAAGTCGTTAAAAAGTCTTGAAGCTGTCAAAATAAAACAAGCAAATTAATATCGAACCTGGGACTTCATTTATGCAAAGCAATGCATTCGTATGTTGTTGATGTTTAGCAACTATCGAATGTTGTAAGTAGTATCAAGCGGTACAACTCTTTTTTTGTTTATTTATTTATTCATTTAATTCAGGCTACATGACCCATATCATATATACCTTATAGACTAACTTAAATTTAAATAATTTAATCCACAATAGTCAATTCGGTTTTTCCAAAGGTCGTTCAACTACAGACGCAGGTGCAGAGTTGCTTAGACACGTATTTGCTGCATGGGAAACTAAAATGGATGCGATAGGTGTTTTTTGTGACCTTTCTAAGGCTTTTGATTGCGTTGATCATAATACATTGCTAAAAAAACTTGCTTTTTATGGCGTCAAAGACAATGCTTTAAATTTAATAAAATCTTATCTATCTGATAGAATACAGAAAGTGAAGGTTAGCAACGCTACGTCTGACGGGTCACTTGTGCAAATGGGTGTACCTCAAGGATCTATTCTCGGTCCATTTTTATTCCTAGTTTACATTAATGATCTCCCATATGCCATGCAGGATAGATGCGGCATAGTATTATTTGCAGACGATACTTCATTGATTTTTAAAGTTAATAGAATGACTAATAATTATGACGATGTAAATAGTGCTTTGCGGCGTCTCCTGCACTGGTTTACAGCTAACAATCTTATGTTAAACGCTAAAAAAACAAAATGTGTTAATTTCTCTCTGTCTAAAAGTTTTAATACTAATTGCAATATTAAATTAAATGACGAATCTCTGGAATTTATAGAATCTACTGTCTTTCTAGGAATCACACTAGATAATAAAACACAATGGGGTGCACAAATTCAAAGCCTTGCAGCGAAACTAAGTTCAGCAGCTTTTGCCGTGCGTAAGGTTAGACAGTACACTGATACTGATACTGCTAGATTAGTCTATTTTAGTTATTTTCATAGTTTACTCTCTTATGGAATATTACTATGGGGAAAAGCGGCAGATATTAAAAATATATTCATATTACAAAAACGTGCCGTTCGAGCGATCTACTGTATGAAGAGTCGTGACTCATTAAGAGAGAAATTCAAAGAGGCAAATATTCTCACCGTTGCTTCTCAATTTATATATTCAAATATCCTATATGTTCATAAAAATCTTGACTTATTTCCAAAAAACAGCAATATTCATAATATTAATACAAGATTTAAAGACAAACTTGCTGTCCCCAAGTATCGTTTAGAAAAAGTTAATAGGTCTTTTATGGGAATAGGTATAAAAATTTACAATAAGATACCAAAGGATATGTTGGAATTACCCTTAAATAAATTCAAAACATCTGTTAAATCATATTTACTGAGCAAAGCCTATTACTCACTAAACGATTACTTGAATGACGAGTGTGCATGGCAATAGTTGTTCATGCACTGAATTTTCATTTAATGTTAGACATAGACACCTATATAAATATACATTGTAAATAAACTGGCTTTAAAAAAAAAGTAATTCAATTGAGTTTCTTGCCAGTTCTTCTCAATTGGATCTATATACCGAACTGGACGGTAGGGAAAAAAATAAAATTATAATGTAAAAATTTGACGTTCATAAGCGGCTAAAATGTCCTACATGAATAAATGATTTTTGAATTTGAATTTGAATTTGAATAACATACATAAGAAATAATAAGAAAAAAGTAAATAGAATTGTCTCTATGGTCACGGCACTGACGAAGGCAATCTGCCACGGTAGCGTCGATAGACCACCCCCCTCGTCCAGTAGGAATGATGATCCAGTAGGATGTCATGAAGGTGGGAAGGATATTGGTGGGAACTTGGGCCACGAACGCTTTGAAGCTCGCGTTGTGACTCGATTCCAGCTGCGTTACCCTCAATGTTAGGTTTTGGTCCGGATATATGTCTTGTTCCTTGGTAGCATAGTGTAGGCGGGACAGGTATAGGTATTTATACTAAGAATAAGTGGCAAATAAGCATACGACCCATTTGATGGTAAACGGTCATTGTATCCTATGGACGCGTGAGACACGGGTCGTATAAATTGGTAATATTTTTTTTTATAAGACTATACCAGAGATCTTAAAAACATAAACTTTTTACAACTATAATATTAGTAGAACATTTTCTTATACTAAATAAGTTAATATTCATATACTAACTTCTCCGATTTGTGTTACGCAGTCAGCAATATAGGCATCAGACATGGTTGAAGTCCAGGTTAATTTGGTAATGCCCGGTTGAACTTTTTTCTCACAAGCCTAAAAAACAAATAATAATTATTTTAATGCTACATGACTGTATTCAGCTTCTGTTAAAAAGAACATACTAATAAATCTTCAAAGTTATTTCATCAGTTTCAAGAATTATATTTATTTCAATAACAATCTACTACAATAGTTTTTTTTATTATACTGGCAATATATACATAAAACAGGCTTTTTTCCAGAGCAGTAAAACGCAAAAAAAACAGACTTTGTTAAACTTGTTCTATGCTCGAATTCGAATTTTAAACAATTCTGATACTGACATGACATTGCATGTCATTGTCATTTCTTTGTCAAATGAGAATTTTCAAAATAAACAAAACGTCATAATAATTTGAAAATTGCGAAGCCTCGTAATAGACCAACGAAGAATAGTTTTATTTCATATTTGTTAATATCTCTAGCTGCTGTTTTGAAATCCATAATAATATTATTATTCCATATAAATGCCATTAAAATTCAAGATAAATCATGAACTTGGGGGACCCAGAATTGGAACTTATAGACCCTACTCCCAATGTGCATACACTGTTTCTACATTTCGACAAACTGTTTTTCTTTACAAAACTAGCTAGCAGAGCAGTGGTCAGATGGAGCAAGAGAATGTATTCTTGTGCTGGGATATGCTCGTAAATATACTTCATTATTTTATTTGCGTTTACAAAAACATACAATAAGTAGACAATAATTTGTTCAGCTGGAAATTAATTTAGCTTTTTGTTCAAAAAATTATATTTAACATATAATTATTGTTAGACTTATTACAGCCAAAACAAAACCCTGCTAATTAAAACAGACCAATCAAAGAGTTTATATACCTACATTATTTCCAGCAGAATTATACTCTTGCTCTGTCTTATTTTTAAATGACAAACTGTGCTAAAAGGCTTTCTATCGGTAAATGTCGCGTATTTATATTTATAATGTTTCATATCATACACATAGTGTAAAACAACCTAGTGTACCTATGTGTGCTTAAATCATTAAAACTATGTGACAGATTTTGAAGCAGTTTTTTTTATGGATAGGGATTAGTTGACACTGAATTGTCCTGAGATATTATTTGATTATTACATTCTGGTTTACTTCATGTAGCATCATTTTCAACTTTTTTCAGTGATATTTATAATTATTGTATACTAGCTACTCACCCCGGATTTATACATGTATTATATGGATAAAATCTTCCTCTTGAATAGTGATTCAATTAATATTTCAGGACAATTCACACAGTGTCAACTAATCCCAAGCTATGCAGAGCTTGTATTATGGGCACTAAACAAGTGACTTTTTAAACATTTTTTAAATACAAAAACCAATTTAAACATGAACATGAATAAAAATGTTTTATATTGTGCAAAGAATCCAATGAACATCAGAAGTAAAGCAGTATCCTAAACCCTGGATTACCAAGTCTGTTGTATTTTACATTTCTTAATTTAAATTCAAAATATTTTTATTCATATAGGTCTATTACAGACTTTTATGATATGTCTAATCTACAGTCAGTTCAGAATAATTTCAAAATGAAAAGAACTGACAAGAAACTCAACTTGTAATTCTTTCAAACAAATATTGTACATGATTATAATAATAATTATTACAGCTATGAAGGCAGAGGTGGACTCTGTGATATAGCCCTTAGTGAGCCACTGCTAAAGCTGCGGTCCCGTAAAGATCTCATTGAGACACTTCTTCATGAGATGATTCATGCTTACCTCTTCATCACATGTCAAGATAGAGAGAGAGATGGACATGGCCCCAACTTTAAATCTCACATGCACCGAATAAACAAGTCTGCTGGTTTGAACATAAGTATTTATCATGACTTTCATGATGAGGTAAGGATATAAATTATAATTAATATGCTTATATAGATAGATCCCCTGGTTAAGGTTGTAATTAATAACTACAGCAATAGATACAAATTACGATTACAACTTACAATACTTGAAAACATGCATCAATTAAAGAAAAGGTGTGATATATTTGACCAAGGTAGTCAGACAGCAGAGCAGCGTACTACCTGTTATATACTGATAACCACATCTGCTTTTAGTCCACATGACTGATTGCAAAATTTACAATAGGAAAAAAAAAGATAAATTCTTTATAATGAATAAAGATTAATTTATAAAAATTTAATTATAAACATGTAATAGCATACAGGTACAGAAAAAATACAAATAAAAGACATAGAAGTGGCTTTATATTCACCTTGGTCAAAGCTACAAATAAATCTGCAACGCTATTCTCTATTACTATGTACACTATTGCAATAACACATCATATTTGTGGAAAATATGCATTAATTATGTTTGAGGAACACATTAAAAAATGTCTGTTAACTATATAACATTAATTAAGTATGTTAGTGAAAGGAAAAATGGCCTAGAACAATTATATTTTCAATCAAGTTGTATCTATATACATATTATATTTCAGTTTACAAATAATAGTCTTATCTGTGGTGTGTCTTATAGAAAATTTACTTCTAATTTATATTTAATTTACACTGTACATTTATACTTTGATCAATAAATTAGTTGCTAGTATACAAATTTTATACTAGCTCAAATGTACTGCTTTGCTCATACGCTTAAATTAGGCTAAATAATCCCATATTTTTTAGTATCACTTAACATGAGATATAGGTGGTAAGGGGATTGTTAATATTATGGACTAAAGACCCCATTCATGGCATATTCCATGTCAGGTTGAGCTCCATGTAGTAGTTCCCCTTAGAAATGATAATGATAAATTTCACATTGTGAATTTACCACAATTGACTAATTTTTCAATTTGTTTCTTGTTTATATTAGTATAATCGGCTGCCAAATTGTAATTTAAATTTGACTAGGTGTATTACATATTAGTATATGCATAATTATTATTTTAAAATTAATAATTTCATTATAATAGTTAATTTAGTTAAATAATTGCCATTATTATTTAATTCGCAAAAGTCCCAAAGTACCTCTACACCTACATGCATTCTTATTCAGATTCAGACAGACAGACAATGAAAGTAAAAATTTAAAAAATCTTACAATTTTTAAACTAGTTTATCAAACATCTTTTTTAATTAATTCTACGTTCCATGTTGAATTTGTGTAATTATTTTGATATAAATTCCAGGTAAAATTATATTTAACCCACTGGTGGAGATGTAATGGCCCATGTCAAACTAGGAAACCATATTTTGGTATAGTTCGTCGCTCTCGAAACAGCGCCCCAGGGCCTAATGATTATTGGTGGTCAACACATCAAAAAACATGTGGTGGAACATTTGTTAAAATCAAGGAACCAGAAAAAAAGGCGAAGGCAAAAACAACTGTACCTAAAACAAATGCTGATATCAAAAAATATATTAATAATAACAATAATATTGTTGGGAAAAATATTAAAACAATAAATGATATTCCAAAGGATGTGCGTAAACCTCTTACACCAATAATAAAAAATTCTAAAACAGTGCCTACTACCGGTTTAAAATCTAATAACATTAATACGGTTATTGAAACTAAGAAAGGCGTCACAATTAACCCTCAAAATAGTCCAAAAAAGAACCCAACTCCATTTACCGGTAATGGTCAAACTATTGCTGGCAGTAGGAAACGGTCTAATTCAGCTGATGTAGTGGAGACCGTAAGAGATATTTGGGCAAAGAAATTCCTTCCCGAAAATAAAAATAGCCAATCAAATTCTACAATGAAAGGAAAACAATTGATTCGAAATAATTCTATATGTGGTACAAATAATTTAGTGAAATCAACTGACAATAAGAATAATTCACATTTTATTTCTCCTCCAATGAAAGTGAGAAAAATTGACGATTACTTTAAAAATACAGCGACTACTGTATTAAAAGACTTGTATGGTCAAGATTTTAAAATAACTCAAACAGATAAGAAAATTATAGCAGTACCTGTAAATCTAGTAGATTGTCCTGTCTGCAAAAGCAAAGTAGATAGTAATGTAATAAACAGGCACTTAGATGAGTGTCTGAATAAGGAAGTATTAGACCAATTAAGTCAAGACCACCAAAATTTTGATACAGTACAATCTAGTCAAATTATAGACAATACTCACATAGTTAAATCTATAAAGACGGAAGATATCAGTAAATACAATAATATTTCTAGAAATTTCACTAATATACAACACGAAAATGTTCAAATAAAAAAAGAACCTGCTGTAGATTCAAGCCTCTCTTTCGATCCCATTGATATCAATAAAGTAAAATCAATTGTTAAAAAGATAACTTTTGATAAACATATTAGGAAATCAGATAATTTTATAGTACCTAAAGAGGAGCCAAAGGAGCCGGACATTGGATTTTTATCGTCATTTTTAGATGATGTTGCGACTGAAACAAGAATTCCACCTATAAAGATTGAACCGGGTACTAGTAAAGACATACTTACGGAACTAAATAAACAAAAATGTCCTTGTTGTGGAATGGAAGTTGACAAACCAATAGGAGAGCATCTTGATGATTGTATTTCATTTTTCAACGACACAGATGCCCCTGTTGAAGGTACTTCCAACAGTTTTGCTAACAATACCATCATAATAGATGATGATGATGATGATGACATATTCGATGAAACTATGACTATGAATGCTACTGGGACTAAAACACCTTGTCCTTGCTGTCTTGAGATGATTGAAACAACAGATATGAATGCACATTTAGATGAATGTTTAAGTTAAAATAAATAATGAACTAGGTTATCTAATTTGATTTGAATTTAAGCCATTGAAGACTATTATAATTACAAGTATTTATGTTATATTATTTAATAGCATTACTGATAATTGATCTTATGTAATGATTGTGATATTAGAATAAATAATCGATGAAATACATTTGTATATCTATAACAAACACCTATCAAACGTTACAGATACTGATGAACTCTTATCTCATATTATAAAAGCGAAAGTTTATGAGTCCATGAATGGATGAATGTTTGTTACATCTTTCACGCAAAAAATCCTAACGGATTTTGATGAAGCTTTACAGTAATATAGCTTAAAGAACAGAATAACACATAGGCCATAACCTAAAAAGAGGTTATGTAAATTGGGTGAATTATGGTTTAAATTAAAGTCAAGTGTGATGCAGAGGAAATGGCGCGAGTCAACTAGTTGATACTCTATAATTAGATTAATTTTCGGAGTTCATTATTATAAACTTATTTCTTACCTTTGAATGACTACAGATAATCAGTGGTGTCAGTCATATTTTTAATACTTTATTAATTACGTGATGAGCGTGGACCGTATGCTTACCGTGGTCAGTGGTTTGAAAAGAAGTCGCTCTTCATCTGATAATGAGTCCAAAATCTTGTTATATCCCTTCACAACAGCTAGCACGCTTTCGTAAACATAAAACACTGTCTTGCTTTTCATGTACACCTATAGAACAAATGATATATTTTCAAACATCTCCTTAACTCTGAACAGTGTTCCATTTGATGTTCTTAACATCCTCAGCGCCAGATCCTACCTAAGTGACCGTTAAAAAAAAATTCAATTTTTTGTAAAATCACTGATTCCCAGACGATTTACATCGGAAAAATGCGACAGGCTTTTATTTGTGTAATAGATGTATAGAGAACGTGTTCCAAAAGGATACTCGGCGCGTTTACTAAGTAGAAAGATGTGTATACTTTTGAATACAGAGTTCCAGACACTGTGTAACAAAAATGTACACATGGCGCCTAAGGTGTTAATTGTAGAAGGTACTTTACCTGAAAAGCATGCAGAGGTATGTCCATGCCTAAATTCTCCCAGTGGGCTGCTTCTTTGCATAGCTCCAAAATATTACTGAGTAAGAAAAACAATAATGTGTTCAGTTAAACACCATATATAAGGTGTTTAGCACACAGAAATTAACATTATTCGTATTTAAAGTATAATAATAAAACACAGGGGGCAGGGCACATAGCTCGTAGGACAGATGGCCGTTGGGGCAGTAAAGTCCTCGAGTGGCAACCACGGACCGGAAGACGCAGCGTGGGAAGGCCTCCAGCAAGGTGGACCGACGATCTGGTCAAGATCGCTGGAAGGCATTGAATGCGAGCAGCGCAGGACCGATCGTCGTGGAGATCTTTGGGGGAGGCCTATGTCCAGCAGTGGACGTCTTCCGGGCTGCGATGATAATGATGAATAAAACACTAATGTACAATGAAAAGTTAAATATTTCCAGCTTTTATTTTCTTAATACAGACATTTTATCCTGCCTGGTTTGATATGGTGTTAGCTTAGTTACTTACACATCAATATTACATTCCAGTAAGCCTGGATTTTCTACGCTTTTCCGCATTAGTGTTTTGTTCAGCCCCGCTCCACATTTTTCGTCAAAGTTGTGCTGTAAATATTAATTGGTATTATATATTTCCACAGAAAAATGATTTATATTTGATTAAACATGTTTATTTTCTTCTATCAGGTTTCCGATTTCTGCGTTCCAATTGAACAGTATAAAATGAAATTGCTTCCACGCAGTTCGTTTAGAACTTTTAAACTATGCAACGGATTTTAATAAGTTTTTAACAGTAGATAGAGTGATTCAAGAGGAAGGCTTTTATTCATAATGCATGTTCACCCGTGCGAAGCCAAGGCGGGTAGCTAGTTAACTATAATGTAGAAGTATTTCAGACTTGCTGACCCCAATTTTGCGTGAAATATTGTTCGTGATTGCATGTAGGCTATATATAAGCCTTCCGGGGTAAATGGTCTGCCGAGCGTTAGGATTTTTCAATTCGAACCTAATAACTTGGGATTAGACACTTCAATGAACCAAAATCAAACCAAACTCTTTGGCTTTTTAACCTTTTCAAAACTGGCGTACACAATTGTAGACATAAAATATAATATAACACTATTTTGAACGATTGTATTAATTGGTTCACTTATAAACTACTCAATTATTAATTTGTTTTGATTAGTTTAAGGCTATAATTTGTTTTATCTTTTTTTATAGACACACAATTTACCAAATTCATCGGATGACAAAATAATTTAGGTTTGAAAGGGTTAATATTAGTAATAGTTTTACCGTCCAAGATATGAAGAGTTCTCGAACTGCGACATCAATGGCTCCCATGAGTCTATTAACGTGCATAATCACATCCTCGGAATTGCTGCAAGGAATTAACCATACAGACGCATCCGTCATTACCTACAAACAAAACCAAAAACCTGCTACATGTTATAATTCGTAGGTAAGGTAGATAGGTTAACAATATATATAACATAACACATCACATCATTTTTAATCTATTTATATATTGTATAATGTTTTGTAATTGTATAATTGTTTAAGAGCTCGAAGTGTAATATATAATCACGTATATATGTATTTAATTATAGGAGCCAACAGAATATCAGCGCTGCAGAGTTATCTGTAGCTTCATGCTGAGTTGGTTGCCTCTTCATCATTGCGACACATAAAGCCATCTCCATTTTATTTTATTTTGTAATATTATATTTCTGTATTATTTAATTTGTAAACTTTATTTCTATTTATAAAATGTATCTCATGTATGCTATGTGTTTGTAATTGTTGAATAAAGAACTTATCTATCTATCTAGAAGGATCCGGTTGAAAAGCAGCGCCGTACAGGAGCATCCTGTCGGCATACGCTGAACCTGGTCCTATTGCCACCTTTAATTACGTATCCTTTAAATCAGGGGTCTTCAACCCGCGGCCCGCGGGCCACTTGCGGCCCGCCGATGTGTTTATTGCGGCCCGCCAACATCATAGACCCACTCTCATTAACGACAACAATGAAATAATAAAGAGTATCTTTAATATAAAATAAAAAAATGCTTATAAAAAAACCTATACTGCGGCCCGCTGTACAAAAAAAAAAAATTAGGACCTCGATTTGTAAAATGTTGAAGTCCGCTGCTTTAAATGTAAAAAAATAAATAATCCTGGACAATTAACACAGCGTCATCCAGTTCCACTGTAAACAGAGCTTGTGTTATGGATACTAGACAACTGATATAAATACTTAGTTTTTTTTTTGTAAATACATACATAATATACATAGAAAACACCCAGACCGATCTGGATACCTTGGAGTTTTTAGTGAGTAGGAGTCTCACAGTACCCGCTTGCCTCCCCCGGGGCGGGCGGATCCATGAGGGATTTTCTCCAAGTAAAAAAAAAGGTCCGTACATACCAATATTACCGACAAAAGCCGAGAAAAAAATATTATTATTATTCGTATTTTTTGTAGATATATAGGTGCCTATTAAATCCATCTACTACATGTATATAGTCGAATTTTATAGGCAGGTTACTTATACCTAAAAATATTTTCAAACAGAATTTTTATCAGATATACCTACATAGACATATATTTTTTTGTAAATACATACATATTAGATATAGTAAACACCCAGACCCATACAAACAATCATACTTATGAAATGTTTGCATCGTGCGAGGAATCGAATCCGCTATCATCGGATGTAAAGCGATGTGCCAACTGATAAACCACAGAAGCCGAGAATGTACTTTTTATGTAATTGTCAGCAATAAATTATTCTTATTCTAATGGATATTCTATGCATTTCAAGATCGTACTTTCTTCAAGTAAAGAAGGCGATTCTTCCTCATTTTCAAGACTATTGCTCGACCAGCAAAGGTGGGTAGATCGGCGGGGTGCTGACTACGAGTTGATACCATGTCTTTCTTTGCTTCTTGTACTTCGTCACTGAACATTGCCCACACCTAAATATAAGTGTTTGGTATTAGAATTGACTGATGTTTTAGGAAAACTATAGAAATAATTGAAAAACTTGTATATTAGGAAGGATATGATATGCCTATACCTAAGTACCATTTCGACGCCAGCTCGCTTCCTGCCAGTAAATACTACACTGCAAGAGCTAGTAGGCTCTTGGGCAACTCCCGAATGTGGTACTACACATTATTCTCCCAAATTTGAATTTATAATGAGTCTGTATTATTATAAACTTGTATAATATTTATTTGAAACGATTACGAGATGAGTTTCTTGTCAGTTCTCATCTTGTAATCATTCCGAATTGACGGTAAATTTGACATATCATAAGAGCCTGTAATAGACCTACATGAATAACGATATTATGAATTTTGAATTACTTCTTTTAACCAGGAACTTATAAATAAAGAGCAATTTAGAGAAAATGTTAATACTTAATCAGTTTAGGAGTTTGTAAAAGCAAATAAAGGTATAAATTTATTTGAAACGATTACGAGATGAGTTTCTTGTCAGTTCTCATCTCGAAATCATTCCGAACTGACGGTAGATTTGACATATCATAAGAGTCTGTAATAGACCTACATGAATAAAGATATTTTAAATTCTGAATTACTTCTTTTAACCAGTAACATATAAATAAAGAGCAATTTCGAAAATTTTAATACTTAATTAGTTCAAGAGTTTGTAAAAGCAAATACCAGTGGATGTTGTGTAGATGACTACATTATTTGCACAATGCAATCAAGTAACGAGATGTTTTGATTATATTTTTAGACGACCAGTAAGTACTGCACCGCTCCTAGTATTATTATGAAACATTTTGGTCTGATTATCAGTTAATGTTTTCTCATTAGACACAGTAATAACTTCAGCAATACCCCTTTTGTACTTCTGTTGATACAGAAGATTATAGTATACGTGATCATATTGAGCATAATATAGAAAGATCTTTTTAATACATCGGTTGTTTCTTGCTTTGTATCAAACGCATTAATGCTATTATCTATTTGTTGGAAATACGTGTATATCTACTACCGTATCTTATCTATTTCACCTAAATACCTTATTTTCTACGTACTGTCTTTGAGATATCAATGTTCATTTTACCTCAGCTGTTTTTCTTTTAAAGATACGCTTCAAATTTTTTCTTTTAGAGTAATTATTCAAAGAGTACAACGCAATTACGGCTTCTTCAACGTGATTGACGCCTTCGAATACTGTCTCGACGAGATTTTCAATTATTATCTATAAGTATGAAGATTGGTTTAATTAATAAAATTTAGTTTTTTTTTAATTTGACACTTTCTAGTTATCATGTTTTATTACCTCAATATCTTTAATAACAGTCCTGAATTGCAACATATCATCGTACCAAGATGGGGCTTGTACGTCGAGTATAGAGACAGATACTCGTTTAACATGATCCAAAGCATCATGGAACATATGTTCGATTTGATCACATTTAGCCTCAAATTTGTCGCCGTGAGCACCTCCAAACATAGGTCTGTTGATGTTTTCTAATTCATCGATCCTAAAATAGAAGACACCATTAAAGATTACATTATTTGTAAAATCTACTTTTGCTTTTACATGACCCTCAAGATAAATCAATATATCTTACCTTCCAAATATAATCATGCAATTACACACATCCAACATGTCGAAACATCTCTGCACAAAGGAATCAATGTAATTGAAAATAGATCTTGTATCCAGTTCCCAACTACCAGGTTTAATCTCATTATGGGCTTCCGCCATCGTGTCGTAGATCTCCCTATATTTTTTGCAACAGTCTATACATTTACTAAACTCTCCAAGAGCCTTCTTTGTCGCGCCATCAAATAATTCATCAAGTTGAATATAAGTTCTGCATAAAATTATAATCTGATTACTCAGTGCTTTAAAGATGTTAGTGATACGAGTTTCAGAGTTGTAGTAAGGAGATTCCATCCAAATAAATCTAAATAAGTTAATAATTTGAGGTATATGGTTAGAGATCTCGTCAGGGTCTTCGACGCATTCTAATATGGCGCAAGGTTGTTTGATGACTTGAAGGTATTCGATATTAGATGTCGCTTCGTTTATCTTTTGAACGATTTCTTCGCAAAGAGATTGGAACTGGTGAATGAATGTGGAATGCGTTGTTACTAAGATCTTCGTGATATATCTTACGGCGGGGTTTTTCAGTTGATGCCGTAGAGCGCTAAGATTCTCATCTATAAAAAGAATTTGCAGTTAACATGATTGGATATCATTACCAAGGATTAGAAATTGAAGACTATTGTCTTTGCATATTAATTTTTTGTTATCTCTTTTTGTCGTAACAGGTCAAACAATTATTAAAATTTCATATTAGCTGCAAATTTACAGCCAATTATTTGCATCGATAAGATCTTTAGGTTAGGTTCTATAATCTTTTATTTTTTTATTAAACAAATGAACAACTTACGTCTATATATCCAGAAGTCATATTCATCACTTGGGCACAAAAGTTCTTTCTGTGATGCCACGAACGCTTGGTCTTCTATACAGGACTTGATCTGATGAGTCCAGTATACCACGACGCCTTCTAACCTCTTAACTAATTCCCGATCAGCACTGGCCATCTCAAAAGTTAATTGTTGGCCTTCTCGAGGTATGTAGAGAACAGTAAGACCAAGCATTTTGTAGTACATGTCTGTGAGTTTCGCAAGAAATGTGTGGATGTGAGAGCAGAATTCGCTTTTTACACCTGAAAGTAATGTTCTGTTTTTATATTTATAGCGATGGCCTGTGATTAAATAGGTATCAGACTCATGAGTTGCGGTGGGTATCTAGCTTTTTGTCTTAAAAAATCCTTGACGGTCTAGCTGTTTAGTTTACCGCTTTATTTCCAATAGTCGCAGGTTCTATTCCTCGCATAGTACACATTCATGAGTGTTATTGTATAGCAGACATACATCTCGATTGTTGTATTGTTTCTATGTATATAATGTATGTACAAAAAAATATATCTAAGTATCCATGTCAGTTGTTTAGTACCCATCACACAAGGTCTGCTTGAGACTAGATGGAATGAATTATCCAGGAATATTATTTTTCTCATTTTCTAGATAAGAAATATCTTAAAAAGGTTTTAGATAATTATGATATTTTAGACGATGTAAAGGGATCTGTATCTACCTAAGTTTTTGTTTTAAATTATAATTAAATGCTTTACCGTGAATTTATCTAAAAAAGAGATCATTTGTAATCAACCTGATATAGCGTGGTACCGTAAGAAACGAGGGGATTTGTAAGTACTTTAACTTACTATCGGGCCATGTGTTGACAGCGAAGAAATACGGTGCATACATGTACTCCAAGATCTGTATCATGTTCGCTTCCACAGAATCTACAAATGTTCCAAATACTATGTCATCATGGAAGGTTTCTGCTTTGAATACAAAATCCGGTTGTCGCAAAAAGTATGTCAGGTCGAAGACAGGTACCAATGGCATATCGGGCATTGCCTTTAGCTTATCCCCTTTGAAGAATACGCACAGGATGAGAGCTCGTGGCTCCAGAAACCATTCTTCAATCGCCTGTTTTGAAAAAATGGAAATAATCTTTACTCAAACGAACTTAATATAAGATTTTTTGTTATCTTCAGCCTCTTATCCCACCACATAATGAACACGACCGTTCTGCCAAGAACGTGTTGATTGCGTTTTTGAATAGTCATATAAGTGTAGCTATAAGTGTAGTTAAAATCTGTTCAGTAGTTTTTGCGTGAAAAAGTAAAAAAACATCCATCCATCCAAACTCACAAACTTTCGAGTTTATAAAATTATAAGAAGATATTTTTTATTCTACGAAAGCAAACTCATCACAAGAAGAACGAGCAAGAAAATTGCGTGTTGCTCTTTCAAATAAATGTTGTTCACCATTAGGTACATATTTAGCGTGAATACAAAGTGACATATTATTAGACTGATGTCTAGAATGACATTATTATTAGCTATGGTTTTAAAATTGTTCATAATCGCGTCCCATGTATCTCTGATCCATAGTGTTCTGGTTTAAAGGGTGAGTTGTAGCAATGAAGTACATGTCTTAGCACTTAAAACTAGCAACATATATCTGGTACCACGAGCGTCATAGGGTTCAAAGCGTATATAGGCAACGTTTTTTTTTCTAATGGATGTTTATATAACGGTACACTCGCCTGCGTTAATGGAATATGCTGGCTGGGTACTACTAGTACTACTATGGGCATGTGGTCAGGTAAGTTAGCCCATCGCGGCAAATTTACCTGCAATTTATCACATATCTTTCCAGGTAGAACCGCGTGGGCTTTTTTTATACTATAGAAAAGAGGCATGACGAGGCGGTGGAATTCTTAACCTTTATAAAACTACATGGTGTACTTACGAGCGCCATTGCCTGAGTCTTGAAGGAGAATGTAGAATGCTAACGCGATATGCGTTATCAGTCTACCGCTATTAAGGCGACAAGAGTGGAGGATACCTTGACAAGATATATTGCTGGGAATGTGGAATATTAAACCAGTATGTAAATTAAAATTTAAAAGTTATATTTATTATTGTTATGTACCAAATAAGCTATTTTCTTTCTTTCTTTATATTAATAGTCCACATTAACAATTCCCTTCTCTATAGGCGACGGCTACCCATTACTATCAGGCTCGTTGGCTTATTTACTATTCCGTTCAATCATTCATTCAGTTCACAGTTTTATATTACTTTGGATGTTATTCTCTGATCATCATTCTGGGTATTGTTGTAAACATGTACAACATTTATTTGAAAAGAATACGAGCTGAGTTTCTTGTCAGTTCTTGTTCAGTCTTTTTCTTCTCCGTCAGTTTAGAATGATTTCGAGATAAGTCGAAATCATTCCAAACTGACGGTAGATTTGACAGATCATAAGAGTCTGTAATAGACCTACATGAATAAAGATATTTTGAAATTTTGAATTCCTCTCCATTTTTATATCTATCTACCACTTACATGTTTCACATCGTCATTCCAATCTTCTTCACGTAAATCGTACAGGGTAGTCATCCTCATCACGTATGATACCAACTTCTCCATTTCCTCGGGCGGGTACGTGGGCTTGACGGGAAGCTCGGCGAGTTCCCTCTCAAGCTGCGCCAGGCGCTCCCGTTCTTTGTTGCAAATAGTATACATAATTAGGTTTGCTGCTTGTAGGGACTGGTCTGCTCTTATCACTAGACTGATTTAATCTTATTGTGTTTTTATATTTGAGCCTAAATAAATTAGTGCTGGTTGGTAGTTTGTATTCACACGTTTCGACTTGTAAAATGTGAACTTACAAGGATTGTTTAAAAGAGCAACACACAAGTTTCTTGCTTATGAAGAATAAGTTTTGATGAGACATCTTTCCGAATAAACGGTAGATTTAATAAAATGTTGACTATTCAAAAGTGCTTAAATTAAGTTTATTTGAATAAATGATTTTCTATTCTATTCTATTCTTTTATGTTTTGACGGCTTGGGTGATTTAGCGGTTCGATTCCTCGCACGATACATTTGTATTCATGAGTATGATTGTTTGTATGGGTTTGGGTGTTTACTATATCTAATATGTATGTATTTACAAAAAAATATTTTTAGGTATAAGTAACCTACCTATAAAATTCGACTATATAGGTACATGTATAGGCACCTATATATCTACAAAAATACGAATAATAATAATAATATTTTTTTCTCGGCTTTCGCCGGTAATTTTGGTATGTACGGACCTTTTTTTCTTTTTTTACTTGGAGAAAATCCCTCATGGATCCGCCCGCCCGGGGGAGGCAAGCGGGTACTGTGAGACTCCTACTCCCTAAAAACTCCAAGGTATCCAGACAAAGCGCCTATTACCGGAGTCGCGGTATCGAATGCAGTCCACCGCAACTCCGGCGGGAAGGTATGTACGGACCCAAGCCAAGTACATAGCAATGTTACATTTTGAGGTGAATATATGTCCCATAAACATAGGTCTAATCGGTTTGTAAAAAAATTCTGACAATGCGGCATGCATTTAGAATTACAGCTTTCTGTAGTTGGCAGTATACCTCGGTGGTCTAGCGGTCTAGCACACCGCTTTACGACCGATGGTCGCGGGTTCGATTCCTCGCACGGCACAAACATTTGTATTCATGAGTATGATTGTTTGTATCGGTCTGGGTATTTTCTATGTATAATATGTATGTATTTACGAAAAAAAAAAAATTATTTATGTATTTGTATCAGTTGTCTAGGACCCATAACACAAGCTTTAGCTAGCTTAACTTGGGTCTAGATGGCGCTGTGTGAATTGTCCTGAGATTATTATTATTATATTAGGGGGCAAGTTCAGGGTATTTATTGACTGATATCTGTTTCGGTATGACACCTGTATAAAGAGGACGATTGGGACTACTATTATTATTGCGTTCTCTGGTACCTAAACTAAGTAGAATCTTGTGTTTTAGGTACAACATATTCATATATATATACATATAGTTATGGTATTGTAATTATTATTAAATATTATTTTCTATAATATATTTCATGTTAATATTCAACAATAATCTATATTACCCATGTACATACAGTAATTCAGTAACAACTACGTTTTAAAAACAATAATACAATTTGATAAATATAATTTTGATATTTACCTCTTTCTTCTTCAGAGTCATGGCTCAGATCATCACTCCATGCTACTTTAACTCTTTTCTTAACTTTTCCCGCCATAACGACAGCTGCCAATTAACACTTAAGTAATTAATAATTAAATAAGCCTTAATTCACTATAACTGAATGTAATTATGTATGTCAGACGACCAAACGAAGTGTTGCTAAGAAACGAAACTGACGAAAACACAAATTTAAATTTCGAACGTCCCGCCTTTTTTTATCTTTTTTATTGTGGCTTGTGTAAGTGACCAGTTCAATAATAGAATAACGGATTCATTAAATGTTTTCGCAGAAGAAATGTCTTAATTAAAATATTTAACTATATAAAACGTTCCCTTGGCAACCCATAGCCATTGATTTAATATAGATGTTAGTGAGTGTAACACTGATATTCTTCTGCCTGCCCTATTACGTCAAACTAGATATTAGCGTGAATATAGATATTAACTACCTAGTTATACCTATATAGTGATTTATGCCTGTATTTAGTATTTTTATGCATACATTTTTAGTATCTTTATGCATGCAAAGTCTCAGCCTGATCGGTTTAAAATTGACAAAGTTTCATACAAACTTTCATCCCCTATTTTATCCCCTTGGGAGTAGAATTAATTAAAATCCTTTCTAAGCGGATGCTTACGTCATAACATCTACCTGCATGCCAAATTACAGCCCGATCCGTCCAGTGGTTTGGGCTGTGCGTTGATAGATCACTATGTCAGTCACCTTCGAGTTATATATATTTAGATGTGTGAAGGAGGTATCTAATGTGTCTGATGAGTGAGAGGTGCTGAGGGTTTCAATAAGGAAAGACAGCGATATATTGTAATATGTATGTAATGTAACAAAAAGAATACATAAAAAAATATGTCATTATAAAATTAAAAAATAATATAAAAACCTATCAAAGAGATCGTTACAATGTGCATACGTGAATTATATACACATAAAAACTTATTAGTACATATTTGATTGAAATTTCAAGCGTTACACCCAGTATAAGTCATCAATATGTCACTATTTATCGTTTTCAATGATATTTTACGTGAGAACAAATGCGCAAACAAAAATTGTGCAAATTATTTCTATTACTGTCACAGAAATTGTAGAAATTAGTTTTGTTATTCAATAATAACGTAAGTAATTTATTTAATTAGATGTTTAATAAAATTTAATATATTGATAATATTTATTTATTCATTAATTCTTAGCATATATCACGGGGAGTGTTCTGAGGAATTGTTCGGATTAATACCAGCTGCTGAATTTCACCACCATACCGCCCGCCAGAAACTAAAATACCATCCTGATCATCTGGATGAATGGTGGTCCTCCACTTTGAGTTCAACTTTGACTCCAATTTTTTTGCCACGCATAACCACATTGTGGAATCACCTTCCAGCAATGGTATTTCCGAACCGATACGATATATATATAAATTTCTTTTAAATATAAAGAACAGGAGTATACTTACTATAACTTTTTCTCTTCACTGAGTTTTCTTTTTTTTTTTCATTTAACTCGCTTTAGTTCTGTGACTGTCAGACTATTTGGTGTGTATATGTTTATCATTTTGCACCGCCAACAATTATTCTCTGCACCACCCTTGTACTGTACTATATATTGTATTGTGTGCATTAAAGTTAAATAAATAAATAAATCGATATTGAAACCTTCAAGAAAAGAGCTTATTCCTTTGTAAAAGGCCAACAACGTACTTGCAATTCCCCTGGTGTTGCGGGTGCTCATGGACGGCGGTAATCACTTACCATCAGGTGAGCCGCTTGCTCGTTTGTCCCCTGTGTTATAAAAAAAAAGATGTTTAATTATGGTTTAATATATTTATAATATTTTTAATTATTATATATAAATAGTATAACTAAATATTTATGACTTAATTTATGTTTAAAAGTCCATTCCAGAGCAAGCTGCTTGGCAGCTGAAATAGGTGAAACAGAGGTATCCATGCTGGCGTTTTTTTACAAATTACCACGTTGTAGCACCAGCTAGTATGGCACAACATGTCGCCGGATGGCGTGGGGCGTGTTCACACTCACCAAGGATGGCAGACAGCAGCTGGCGGGCGTGCTGCGCGCGCTTCTGATCGCCCAGCTCGTTGTTTCTCTCTGCATGGTCATATTTTGCTATAACACCTCGTTGAAGGTGATGTCGCTACTCAAGCATATTCATAAGGTACCATAAACCTTCTAAAGTATTCATCATTTTAGCCCTGAAGACGTCCACAGCTGAACAAAGGCATCCCCCAAAAATCTCCGCTACGATCGGTACTGCGTTGCTCGCATCCAGCGGTCTTGACCAGGTCGTTGGTCTAAAAGACTGTTGTAGATATATTATAATCAAGCGCTCAACTCGTCCGTTCCGTTCGCGAGCTGTTCGTATAATACCCTTTTTGTGCAAGTCCTTGTTCACAGGCGGCCATCTTGTCTACCCCTACTGTACAGGAAGTTATAACAATATTATTATTATTAACCATTGGAGGATGATAAGATGAACATGAGGTCAGGTCAGTAAGCCCATCGTGGAAAATTTACCAGAAATTGAACATAATATTAAAATATTACGTTATATTCCTGGTGAATTTCCCAATCTGCGTTCCGAATAAATAATAGATAAAAAAAATATGATTACGATTTCAGTTTCTATTTATCTAAGTTATATGTATAATTATTTAGAATTTATATTTTTTTTGTAGTATTGGGACGAACGAGCTTGCGTCTCACCTGATGGTAAGTGCTTACAGCCGCCCATGAGCACTCAAAACACCAGGAAAATTGGAGTGATGATCAATGATGTTCCAGGTGACGGTATTCCTCTTATACGGACTGATTCTCTTCCAAGCATACGCCATGAAGCTTCACTATACCAGCGGCCTTCGTCTCATCACCCTACTGTTACAAAGTCCGTACTGGCCTCGAGCCAGCGTGGTGACCAGGGTTTGGCTCGCCAGCGGTATCATGGTCGCTGCCAACGGGATCTTAGTGTATGCGGCTTGCAGAGGAACGCTGAAGGTATTTATTTTTTAATTATTTCATTAGTTTATTTCATCTTATATATAAAATTCTCGTGTCACAATGTTAGTTACCAGGAGTATGGTAACTAACATTGTGACACGACGGCTTGATCGATTTTTATGAAATTTTATAGAATGGTGCAGGTAAGTATCAAATCAGTCAATCAAATAAGTCATTTCATAGGTCACACTAATAGTGTACGACTTACCGAGAAGAGAGGGACACCCATATATGCATATTCAGTAGGTCTGAGAATCTGCTACTATCTATTTTTCATATCCCTAAGTGGTAAGAAATATCCACCCATCCATATATTTTTTTATTTTTCGACATTGTTCAAAATCTACCCTGTATCATCGTAAGCACAGATATTATATTATATTAGAGTCCGTTAGTTTTCTGTTCCCGCGCGTTCCCTTCCCCTCCCTAACTAGTAACAAACGGACCGTACAGCGGCCTTGACGCGCGCGCGCATTGTGTTGTGAATTGAAATAAATTGGAACTGTGAAACTTACTGTGAAACTGGAAAGCTAGCGAAGATATCTTCGAGACCCTGAAGCTCAAGAAATCCGCAGAACCATACAGGTACGTGACTGACGTTTCCCTAACATTTTGGTAGCAGAGTTCCCAAACAGACATAATATAATATTTTATTTTAATTTTATTATTATTTAGGATTCTAGCACCCTCTCATCATCAACCCCTATTTTTTAGTAGCGTTTTTAATTTATATAGCTGTTTTGCCACATTTGCCGGGACAGCTAGTTGATTCATAAAATATACATTGTGATGAATTATTACATCGAAATTACTTACACAGTATAAGTTATAATTAACTAGCTGACTCGCGCAACTTCGTATCGTAATTACTCTTCATAGGTACTTACCAAATCACGTAATATCTTTTTAAATTATGGCGTACTAGCTGTGCTCTCGATTTCACCTCCCAGAAAATTATAGCCTAGGTATGTGGTTTTTTGGTGTATATTACTTAGTAAGTTTCATCAAAATCCGTTCAGTAGTTTTTGCCTGAAAGTATAATAAACATCCATACTCACAGACTTATGCGTTTATAATATTAGTAAGATGACTGTGCGAAATTTCATAATCAGGCTCCTCGTTATTCGTAAAAAACAAAAATTCTGAGCAAAAAGATAGGTATAAATTTAGTAAGTATAGTAAGACTAGTTAAATATTTAAGGCGACGCATCGCAAATATTGACCTCAGATACCTTAACTTTTCTCAGCAATTACAAATCATTCGAGGCTGATATTTAGGTATTTCATTTTTCAGATCTTTGACATCATATTGACAGTTCTCGTTACATGATTGATTAACTTTTGTAGCAGAGAAAAAAATCTCAAAGATTGGTCTTAGAAAATATATTTTTGATTGGTATAAGAAAACGGGACTGATTTAAGACCCGAATTATTCAATATACATTATACTAAATACATACATAAATAGTGTAATTCAGATGTATATAATAATCAATAGTTTTTATTTTAAACAACATAAACTGTTTTTCCGCAAAAAATAATAGCAATAGCAGGGCCGGAAACTAGCGATACCGGGCTGGCAACCGATGCGTTTCGGGAGATTGCTATCCGCTATAATACATATTAAATAAAGGAATTTTAAAAGATAGTGAAATAAAAGAATAGAATAAAAAATCATTTATTCAAATAAACTTACATTAAAGCAGTTTTGAATAGTCACCACTTTTTTTTAATCTATCGCTCATTCGGAATATTGTCTCATCACAAGAAGAACGTGCAAGAAAATTGCGTGTTGCGCTTTTAAATAATTTTATTGTTACTTTAAGTTGAAGTGTAGAAATAGAAATAGAAATAGATACAACCAAGTGGTTTAGCAACTAAATAAGAGTAAATCAGTCGTAGTGATTACAGCAGACCAGACCTCGTAAGCAGCACTCGTTCACGAGTATAACGGATGAGCCAGCCATCACTGCGGTCGACCATATTTTAGGGAGCCCAATTAATACGCACTATCACGCGCAAAATTGTGAATACAAAAATTTAATCAAACGAAGCACTCAAAATTGCGCGCGCTGACTTTCCCGCGCTAAATGGCGCCCACTCCTGATCACGCGTGAAGTAACGTGTCATGTACAGGATCAAATCATCGGAGTGTTTGATCGTAGGTAATCAAAATAATTGTACATTGGTACTATGATTGTTTTTTTTTTTCGGACTACTCTAATGCAGCTGGCCTTTACAGCTTCTCCGGACGATAGGGGGCGAGTGCAGGTGGCACTCCCAACCCGCGGAAGGACTTATGGAGCGGCTGAGGGCCAGCTCCCGCCTGACGGATACGACTTTAGTCTGAGGGCACCGCTAGGGGTTCACACCTTGGCACAGACCGTCGTAATTTCGATCCCCATTTGAATTGGACGGGGGATTGATCAAAGGGAAAAATTGGGCCAAAATATGTTGCAGGCGTTGATGAAAGAATTGTCTTCATCACTGCGCATCGGCATCTCGCAGTACCTTACAGAGCCCACGTGGAAACGTCTGATGGACACCATGCAGGTATAAATTAAATTGGTCATAAATTAATATGGTCCAATAAGTTCCAACATGAAACAAAACAGCGTTGATCGGTGTCTTACTGTATTACCCTTACACCCTTTGAGGGTGCAAGTATAGATATTTGTAGCTCTTTCTTTTGTTTCTTGAACTAATCTTATACTTCGTAGACGTCTTTCCGTTATGTATATATTTGGAAACGCTGCGCACAATTTCGGGGATTCCTCGGGTGGAAATAAAGGAGCGCTATACCGAAACAGCGTTAAGCGGGGTGTTATTGTACATCAGACGTAACAGACCTAAAGTTAGGGAGATAATCGGCTGTGTAGCATTGGTGGCCAAGAGATGGGAGGGGTCTTAAATATGGGGATTCTTCGGGTGGAAATAAAGGAGCGCTAAACCGAAACAGCGTTAAGCGGGGTGTTATTGTACATCAGACGTAAAGTTAGGGAGATAATCGGCTGTGTGGCAATGCTGGACAAGGAGATGGGAGGGGTCTTAAATATGGGGATTCTTCGGGTGGAAATAAGGGAGAGCTAAACCGAAACAGCGTTAAGCGGGGTGTTATTGTACATCAGACGTAAAGTTAGGGAGATAATCGGCTGTGTGGCAATGCTGGACAAGGAGATGGGAGGGGTCTTAAATATGGGGATTCTTCGGGTGGAAATAAGGGAGAGCTAAACCGAAACAGCGTTAAGCGGGGTGTTATTGTACATCAGACGTAAAGTTAGGGAGATAATCGGCTGTGTGGCAATGCTGGACAAGGAGATGGGAGGGGTCTTAAATATGGGGATTCTTCGGGTGGAAATAAGGGAGCGCTAAACCGAAACAGCGTTAAGCGGGGTGTTATTGTACATCAGACGTAAAGTTAGGGAGATAATCGGCTGTGTGGCAATGCTGGACAAGGAGATGGGAGGGGTCTTAAATATGGGGATTCTTCGGGTGGAAATAAGGGAGAGCTAAACCGAAACAGCGTTAAGCGGGGTGTTATTGTACATCAGACGTAAAGTTAGGGAGATAATCGGCTGTGTGGCAATGCTGGACAAGGAGATGGGAGGGGTCCTAAATATTGTGATTGTGATGTTGTGAATTTTAATATTAAAACACGGTGTTTTATCTATATAAATGTGATGCGTGAAGTTACTACACGTTTAGAAACAGATATACGAAATAATCTTTTTTCAAATAAACTTTATATAAACACTTTTGAGCAGTCATATTTTTTTTTCTACTAGTCGTTCGAGGCGCCGACTCATTACAAGAACGAACGAAACGAAAACGAACAAGAATCTTGAGTGTTGCTCTTTTAAATAAACTATGTATCACCGCTTGGAAAATTAATTTAATTAGCACATTTTATTCTCTCAAGGTGGAGCTAAACTGCTGCGGTGCTGACACACCTAGCGACTGGCACGAAATACCTTGGCTGAACATGGACTTCTTTAATGAAGACAATAATTTAATTATGAGGTATCTGTTGAATATCTGTAAAATTATCTGAAAATAGATCAGAATGAAACGGCTATAATGATATATGATATAGGAGGACAATACACTAGAACTAGACGATGTAGTCTAAATCACGTGCGCTCTTGAAAGAACGTGTCATGTAAGTCCATCTTATTTGAATATAATAATTCTGGATGGAGAAAGAAGATCCTGAAAATTATATTGAACCATAATGACGACTCTAATAATGCACGGCCTCCACACATGGTCAAATTGGCGGGCTCCGACGATAGATTGATGTCCCCTGTGCGTTCTACATGTTTATTGACCTATAACGACGACTTTGAACAATCTACTCCTGGTAACCCACGCCACAGCTTCTATATACGTTGTCGTCGCCAGATTGGCGGGCCCCGACAGCAGACTGGTGTTCCCTGTATCCCCGTACTCGTGCTGCATGTTTATTGACCCATAATGTCGACTTTGAACAGTCTACTCCTGGTGCCCCACGGTCTCTATATACGTCGTTAAGTTAGCGGGCCCCGATGACAGATTAGTGTGGCCGGTGACACCGAACTCGTATTTCAAATTTATTGATCCATAATTGCGACTTTGAACAGTACTCCTGGTACCCTACGGTCTCTAGACACATCGGCAGGTTAGCGGACCCTATTGGCAGTCTGGTGTGTCCCAGTCCCTTGTGTCCCCGTACTCATACTCAATGTTTATTTAATCATAATGACGATTTTGGTAATGGTCGGCCTTCATGCACATGGTCAGATTGGCGGGCCCCGACGGCAGACTAGTCTCCCCTGTGTCCCCGTACTCGTGCTGCCGGCCGCGCGTGCTGGCAGCGTGTCACCACGACCCGCTGCAGCAGGCGGCGGCGGCGGGCGCGGCGCTGGCGGCCGCCTCGCTGTCGGCGCGCGGGTGCGTGGAAGCTATCCGCGCTCCGCTCACACGCGCACTCCTCGCTCTGCACTGCTTCACCATGCTCGTCTGTCTCCTGCAGGTACCTGTGCTATTGTGACGTACCATGGTCGCGGGTGGTGTTGCGATCATACACAACAGATAACTTGTGGACAACAGTTTCGCCGTACAAATAATCATACTTATGAATACAAATATTGCACGCACGATTGAAAGACGCGGAAATGTGTGAACTGGCGGCGCGCTCGATCTTTATTCTTAGTCTCTTTAGTTCTCTTTGCCTATATTTACATGCACAATTTTTGCTGCCTGCAAGCCAGTTCGCACGTAAATGAGCATACGATTTACATGCACATTCTTTCCTGCGTGCAAGCCAATTTACACGTGAAAGAGCGTACGTGTAAAGGCAGCTATTTACATACAGATTATTTCCTGCGTGAATGTCGATTCGCGCGTGATAGAGCATACGTGTAAAGGCAGCTATTTGCATACACATTATTTCTTACGTGACAGCCGATTCACGTGTGAGAGAGCATACCTTTATGCCAGCAATTTACATGCACAATTTTTCCTGCATAAAAGCCGGTTCGCGCATAAAAGAGCGCACGTGTAAAGGCAGTTATTTACATACAGATTCCTTCATGCGTGAAATAGCATACGTGTAAAGGCAGCTTTTTACACGCGTATTCTTTCCTGCGTAACAGAGCGTACGTGTAAAGGCACATATATTTTTTTATTTAGATGTTAATACTGGCGCTGACCCAGCTACTGCGCAGTAGTGCGCGCGCGGCCGTGCTGCGCGGCGCGTGCGACGGCGCTGGCGCCGGCTGCCTGCTGCCCGCGCCGGCTTCCGACCGCAGACTGGTATTGTTGATTAATTTGTTATAATGTCTATAGATAGACAGAATTATATATCAATCTCTTTTGTCTACTGGTTTCCTTCCGGTGGTTGCGGGTTCGATTCCTAATACGGCACAACTTTTCTATTCATACAAAGATAATTCTAGGTAACTTATCTATACATCTAAGAAATGGCTGGACCGATTTTGACGAGATTTTTATTGGCAGGTAGCTGATGTAATAAGGAGTAACTTAGGCTACTTTCATTTTAGAAAAAATCTTTTATTTTAGAAACTGAAAGTTAAATTCCACGCGGATGATGTCGCGGGAACAGCTAGTTATATATATAACTTTATAGTCATGCCGGATGTACATACTTTATATCCCAAAAATTTCAAGATTGTGTGGTCACTCCTCGCGCGCGTCTTTGGCGCAATTGTGAGACTGCCTCTCTCTATGTAGACGTCACACGACGACATACACGGACGTCACACGGACGACGTATATAGCAATTTTATTAAACAATTCAAATTAAAATCTTCCTATACAATGAACTCCTGGATAAAAACTTATTATATAGTCTGGAATAAACATAACCGTGTGATGTTACTGCTGTTGCCTCCTACGTTTTAAAAATATAAACACAATTTTATAATATTTGTACAGATGACTTATAAAGTGACATGTGTCTTGTTTGCTATTAATCTGTAGTAATTCGTTATTTCTATTGTTGTCTTTGTGTATTAAATATTTTCGATTCGTCCTTGATTTACAAACCTATTGAACTATATATTGTTATGATTTATTCAATGAAATCGAGTACAATAATATAAAAATTATTGTACAACTGGATTTTGTTAAATATAGTCGGCATTAGTACCAAGCTTACTAGCGGTGCGCTAAATCACTAGAGCGCCAAAACCGTCAAATATTTGGGCTTATTATAATAAAAAAAAACTAATTTGCCCTGTTTGCGAGTTTGACTTCCACCTAGATGGTTTCTAACGTAATAAATTCCTGGTGAATTTACCATGATGGACTAACTGACCTGACCTCATGTTCATGTATCATCCTCCGCTGGTGTCCTGCCAGCGGAAACCGTTTGGGCAGTATAATTCTATAACTAAATAGTAACGGGTTTCGTACCCTCAAGTAGTAATATGTGATATTTGTGTTATCTGTGGTGTAAGGGCCCGCGAGGCGGCTCAGTGGAGTCTGGTGGCGCGGCGGGCCGCCGGCGCAGGCCTACACGCGCCGCGGACTGCCGACTCTCACCCACCCCGCCTTACCTCTCTTGAGTGACCTGTTAGTGGCCTTCAAATCAAATCAAATCAAAAATAATTTATTCATGAAGGAAATTTTAGCCGCTTATGAACAAATTTGAATTAAAAATATCTTTATTTATGTAGGTCTATTACAGACTCTTATATGTCAAACCTACCGTCAGTTCGGAATGATTTTGAGATGAGAAGAACCGACAAAAAACTCAGCTCGTATTCTTTTCTAATAAATGTTGTACATATTTACAATAATTAAATTACAATTAAAATTTCTTTTTCAGATGAATATAAAATAAATTGTATATAGCTTTATTGCATTATATAACATAGGAAAGTAATTATATAATAATAAAAAACAATTTGTAATCAATGCAATGACTTTATTTGACTTCCATATAAACAGTCCTTATCATCTAATAAGTAACAATGCGAATGAATCGAAAGCCGTCTTATAATGATTTGTGCGGCGCAATAATAATAATATAATGATTATTTATAATATAAATAATAAATACACTCTATATAAATATTTCGATTGATTTTGGCGCGAAACATGACTCGCGGTGCGTCCGCCGCCGCGGCACAAACTCCTGCTTTCCAACCACGTCTACGTGTGATAGTCTATGGTCGCGCCACAGACTACACTTAATTCCATTTAAATGAAAAACCTATGGGATTATTCAAAATAAAAAACATGGCCGCAAAACTTGATAAAAAAAATAAACTTCGTGACGCGGTAAAATAGTGCACTTTCAAGACGGGCTAAGGAATATAGTGCATACTTCTATAATTGTGTTGTAACATTCGAACTGTGAAACGATGTATGCACGTTTTCATAATAAAATGTTGGTAACACTGGCAAGCGTTCGCGCCAAAATTGTACTTATATATTCTGTGACACTATTACCATGATTTATAACTTTTTCATCATGAAAACTGACGTACATATATTTAAAAGTTCGTATATTATAACAATATTGCAAAGTACGCAGTGGCACGTCATGGAAGCATACTATTTGGCCGCGCCAAAGTATGTATTTTTTATGAGCTTCAACCTTTTTTATATTTAGTATAATTACGTAGATTAATTAAACAGAATGAAATGTAGATTGCAGCGGGGCCGCGATATATCACACGCGGACAAGTAACAAATATACAAAAACTCTATTTACATGCGGCGGCGAACGGCCGCGGGGTAGCACCATTCAAAATTGGAATGTCACGTGGTACGCGCGCTCGGACACCGCGTTTTCACTAAAAGCAGTGGCGAGAGCGCATGCGCTAATATCAAAAGCGGCCATCTTTAATTCTAAATTCAAAAACCACTCATTGCCGATTATAGAGCGGCCAATTATAGATTAATTATAGTTAGGCCTATCTACGGTCCTATCAGCATACCATGTACGATTTTATCGTTTTTTTTTTAAAGTTTGCCAAATTTTGGACAATTTTCATCGGCAATGAAGGTGATATCAGCCCAGAGGGAAGGCTGACTTTGCTTTCGATATGATGCGCGTCGTTCACTTTCGCTTTCGGGATCAGAGCGGCGGGGGCCCTTCGGGGTATCGTAAGACTGGTTCCAGGGCCAGTCCAGAGGAGCGGCAGTCAGAGTGGGCGTGGGGGGCCAGGGCGGCGGCGCCCAGCAGCAGCAGCAGCAGCGCTTGGAACGGGATCGATGCCCTGGCCACGCGGCAGACGAAGCGCAGACCCCGTTGGAGGCTGCTCAAGTCTTGGTCTTCTGTATCGTCACTTATAATCACGCTGCGGGACAAAGAGTGGTCCAGTTAATTTTGGATGTTTGTGAAAAAGTCTTTTTGTAAATCCGGCGTTAGGCGTAAGCTTCATAGGTTGAATACACGTTTGTGATATGTTGGCGCAAACATATGCGTATGTGTCAGATATGTTTTGCAATATGTACGTGCTTACAGAAATCATAAAGGAAGAGCTATGAGATTTGGAACACTATAAGTAAATATTTGAATTTAGAATGTGATGAAAAATGTTCGAAAACGGATAGGGCAATGAAAATTGCAAATAATTGTTCAAACTTTGTAATTGAATTTAGAATGTGATGAAAAATGTTCGAAAACGGTACGGCAAGGAAAAATGCAAATGTTTGTTCAAACTTTGTAAACATTCTAGTATTTGAAGCTATGTCTAATGCCGATATAAGGGTGAGTACACATGATTGCCAGCATGTAATACAATTACCATTACCTTCATAGTTTGTAATAAATTGGGCATGAACATGAATACTGCTTGCGAACTTATTCGCGCAAGTATACAGTAAAAATGTATGTTTGTATCGTCAAACAATAAAAAAAATTTGCTATTTTTGTTAAAAATATAACGGATTTTTATCGAACTATAAACACACACATCAATATGTATTCACCCTTATATACCTACATGTTTTAGAAATCCATTGAGATATTACTGGCAGATGAAGTGTTTCTAACAAAGTAACAATTCGGTGAGAGCTAAAACTGTAGACATTATTGATCAGAGATAGAAAGTTTGAAAGTTATAGGTAGATATTTCTGTCAGTATAAAAAAAAATCATAATTTATAATGAAAAATAAAAAGAATTAAATAAAAATAAAAATACTCTATAAATATATTAAAACGACTACATTGATGTTATGCAAAACAAGAAGTGTTAGGCGACTAAACTACTAAAGACCAATTTACAAACGTAATTATAGTATTCATAAAAAAATATCAATCTATAAATATCTATATACGAGTATCTACTGCGTTTCCACCCTAAATGGACATTAACATCTATAAAATATTATATAAAACTAGCTGTCCCGGCAAACGTTGTTTTGCATTAAAATAAAAAAAAATTTAGGGGTGGACTACCCCTAACATTTAGGGGGATGAAAAATAGATGTCGGCCGAATCTCAGACCTACTCAATACGCTCACAAATTTCTTTGATTTTTATGTATTATTAATAAAAATAGAAATTAATTAGATATATGCCAATTCTGTATGTAATTGTATTACCAAGTATAACTTGTTTTTTTTAATACCATTTGACTATATAAATAAAATACTGATTTTCTTACATAAATTAATAATTTCATTATATTTTATACTTTTTAATATCATTAATAAAAATAAAAATAGAAATGAGCTAAATAGATGCCATTTCCAGTCATGAAATCTATAATAACGAGTGTAAATTGGTATTTTTTTAAACAAGCGCATGTACTCACTCATTCTCGTCGAGGGGCGGCAGGTGTGTTGTTGAGATCTGTTCCTCATCCTCCTCCAATAGCTACGAGAGGACAAACATACGTCAAAATACGGTGCAAAGCGACTACAGTGGATATATCGATGTGCAAACATTAGAGTCGCGACACACCTAGTAATTGTAATGTAAAGTACAATGTAACAACGAGAGAGCAGAATAAAATAGAATACAAATAATTTTCATTCAAATAAACTTAATATAAACACTTGAATTCAATATAACAACGAAAGAATATAATACAAATAATCTTTATTCAAATAAACTTTATATAAACACTTTAATTCAATATAGCAACGAGAGAATAGAATACAAATAATCTTTATTCAAATTAATTTAATATTAAACTTTTGAATAGTCATATTTATTTATTCTACATTTGATAAAATATAACTAATAGCAATAGTGAATTCTGTGATTTTATTGTTATATATTTATTTACTTTATATAATAATGTCATAGTTGAGTCGTTGTATGCGTTACACTAATAATTGCTCTCTTTGTATTACAATGTTACAATTACATTACATTCAAATGTCATAGGTGTGTCACTAGCTTTATAAAAAGTTTAACGTTTGCATCTCGACACAGTATGGGGGAAAATTACCTACAATTGTAATAATTATTAACATATTCCATTTTAATATGTTATTGGGAAAATATTTATAACTAGATCCGCTAAATAATATCGACAAAGCTTGCTCTGTGGTTTTTATTTATCTGTGCACAGTGATAGGGAAGCAGTGGATGATACTGCAACTTATAAACTAAATAATAACAGTATTATAAATATTAAATTATAATTTTATAGGATATTTTTTGTATAACTTGCTGACCCCGTAAGTGTTGTTTTATCATATAAATTAAAATCGATATTTAAAAATAGGGGTTGATGGTAGAATGGTGAAAATTTTGTTATGTATTTATTAATGTCACATTATAAAAAATATAAAATTGATCAAATATATAAGAAAAATTTAGGGGTAAATAAGCCTTATCACTTTGGGGTATGAAAAATAATAGCCAATTCTAGTGTAGGGGGATTTTATATATATATATATATTATACTATTCAATTCTAGGGGAGACAAAATAATTTTTAGAAGGCTAAGCCTGGCAGGGCACAAAAATATTACTGTTATAAGGTGTAAGTACAACACCTTATAACAGTGAGTCCCAATCTCTAATCATCATCATCATCATTAGTCCACTGCTGGACACAGGCCTCTCCCAAGGCACGCCACTGGACGTGATCTTCAGCCCTTCTCATCCAGTTACTACCCGCAACCCTACGCATGTCGTCGCTCCACCTAGCTGCAATCTCTAATAATTACACTAATTCCCAAAGGGGCGGTACTATGTTCTGTTAGTATAACGGCCCGTTCACATACCTGGGGAGTGGCGGAGGCGGCCGCGGCGGCGACTGCCGCGAGTGCGGACGGTCGCGCGGAATGTCGCGGCTGTCGCGCGAGCGCGGCGCCAAGTTTGAGAGCGTACACGCCTGATAACTTGCGGAGGGACTGTAGCCGCAGTCGTAGTTCACCCAGGCTGTACATAATAATAATTGTTGTCTGTCAAATATTTATTAAACTATAAGAATACTAGCTGTCCCGGCAAACGTTGTTTTGCCTTAAAATAAAAAAAAAATTAGGGGTGGACTACCCCAAACATTTAGGGGGATGAAAAATAGATGTTGGCCGATTCTCAGACCTACTAAATACGCTCACAAAATTTCATGAGAATCGGTCAAGCCGTTTCGGAGGAGTATGGGAACGAAAACTGTGACACGAGAATTTTATATATAAGATAAAATAAAATTCTTAATAGAAAATAGAATGTAAATATGAACTCATGTAAGCAGGACGAAGCTCCTCTGAAATCTACAGGCATAGCTAGTAGTTACATAAGGAGTGCAATCGTTCCCTGTCCAATTCTGACGTCCTGAGCCAAGGTTAGCACCGCTAGGGGGTGCCATCAGACTAAAGTCATATCCATCAGGTGGGAGTTGGCCTTCAGCCGTTACAGAAGTCATTCTACCGGTTTGTAGTGTACTGTACCATCTGTACTCGCCGTGAATCGCAGGTGAAGCTGTAAAGGCCAGGTGAGGCTAACAGCATAAGATTAGTCTAAAAAAAAAGTTTTAGTGGCGCACTCAACGGCAGTAGATCGAAATTACGATGGCCTGAGCAGAGATTCGACCTCTAGTGCTGCCTAAATAAAGTCGTATCCGTCAGGCAGGAGTTAGCCTATAGCCGCATATGAGTTGGCTTTCAGTCGTACTCATAAGTCTTATCGCGGGTTTGGAGTGCCATTTACGCTATTTGAAGATTTACGAGCAGATTGTTGATGCTTGTCCAATTTGAAAACTTCTCACATCCGAGCACACCTCGACACAGCTCTCCGATCAGTCCACCGTCCAATTTAAACGGGGATTGAAATTACGACGGCATGAGCCGAGGTTCGAACACCTAGCTCAGACTCAGACTACAGTGGTATTCGTCAGGAATTAGCCTTCATCCGCTCCACAAGTCCTTCCACCGGTTTGTAGTGCCATCTGAACTCGCCCCCCATCCGTACTCGCCGGTGAAGCTGTAAAGGCCAGCTGCGGCCAACAGCATTAGAGCAGTCTGAAAAAAAAGTGGTGGTCACCGGCGGCAGATGTCTGCGGAGTGCGCGGGCGCGTCGTCGGAGCGCAGCAGCTGCGCGGCGTCGTGCAGCGCCAGCACGCGCGGCTCGGCGGCGGCGAGCTCGTCGCGCAGCTCGGAGAACCGCCGGAAGTCCAGCTGCAGCTCGTGCGCCGCGCGCGACAGCCGCAGCGGCTCGCGCGCGCGCACGCCGCGCTCCGCCTCCGCCAGCTGCGCCACCAACTGCACCACTGCACAGGGACGACCACGTAAACCACTGTACTATGAGCTCTTCGAATGCATGGATCGATACCATATTAAGGGGGGAAGTTGGTGGCATAAGCTGCCTAAGACGGTGAGCTGCGATATCTCTCATCATCATCATCTGCTTCTCCTTATCCTTATCTCATTCGCAGTCATCTCGTTATTTACTCCCTTTCTTACCATATCATATTTCACACAGTCCATGAGCTATGTTGCCATATAGTACGTATATAATTCAGTTATACAAATATCATACTTATCTACTAAAATTATGAATGCGAATGTAATTCTGCCTGTCTGTCGTGCGTTAAAAATGCCCTTTGAAAGGACCTAAACGCAAAAAAAACGGTTTAAAGGGCAGATAAAATTTTATATGGAATTAATATTATTAAAGTCTAGCTTGAATCTTATTTTTAAGACTGTTAATTAAAAATATATAAATATGACATTCAAAGTTCGTAAAAAAAACTATAGTTTTACCTACGATGAAATAACTTAATAAAAATAACTCGACTAGTTTAATAAAATGAAGACATATTATTAAACTAGGCGAGGAAGTCTGAAAAAAAGTGTATCCGGTAGACTGACCGATGTCGTGGAACTGTTGGTTGTGCACGAGCGCGCGCTGCAGCGCGTGGTGCGCGGCGGCGGCGCGCGCGCAGGCGTCGTCCCAGCGGCGGTTGGCGGCCGCGAGCCGCGCGCGCACGCGCTCCGCGTCTGCGGGCGCGCGCGCATGCGCAGCCACGTGCGCGCCCACCACGTTCAGGGACACCACGATCGACTTGTGCGAGTCCAGGTCCAGCAGGAACTCGCGGTGGTCCTGTAAGCCATCCGACAATGATAACCATCACTCTTCGCTCTTACCACCACCGGAGGCGTGGTCAGATATATATATATAAATAATACCCCTGGACAACTCATACAACGCATTATTAGAGTCCAGGTCCAGCATGAACTCTCAGTGGGCCTGTAAGGGAAGTCAGTCAAAACTGATAGGTCAACCCATCACTCTTCGCTCCCACCACTACCGAAGACTTGGTCAGATAGATAAATAATAATAACATCCCTGAACAATTTACATAACACCTTGTCCAGTTCCAACAAGAACTGGCGGTGATCCTGAAAGCCACCCGACAATGACACATATCACTCTTCACTCTCCCCTGGTCCGCAACCACCGGAGGAGGGGGAAGGGGATTGGTAATAATGTGGATTGATAACCCCATTGCTAGCAATGTACCATGTCAGGTTGACCTCCACGCGGTTCCCCCTGGAAACCATCGTGATAAATTCCTGGTGAATTTGTATACGATGGACTAACTGACCTGACCTCATGCTCATCTTATCATCCCCACTGTTGCCCCGCCAGCGTAAACCGTTAGCGCAGGCGGGTGCACCATTCCATTATCATCCATAAAAAAAATTAAAAAAACCCCATCTAAGCGACGCTTGTGTTATGTGTACTAAAACATTGACAGAAATACATGGATCCATCATCATCTGTTTCTTCCTTTTCCCATTTGTTTGGGGTTAGCGTAATATGGTTTTCTCTTCCATTCATCTAACCTAAATACATGTATTATACATTTTTTGTAAATAAATACATATTGAATTGTCCAGTGCAGTTTTAATGTAAATCATACCTGAATAGCATCTTCTAATGCATCGTACTGTTCAGGCGGGTCAGTTCTGGCCGCCTCAGTCGCTTCAGCGTACTGCAGCCACTGTTCCAACCTCCACAGATCGTTGTCCAATTGCTTCCAGTTGCGTTCCGAGCAAAGCGGACAAGTCAGGCGACCCGTCTCACTGAATTAATGAATAGTAGATATGTTTTTAGTATACAAATTTGGGGATATTAGTATTTCAAACGAGATAATCGATTTTGTTAATTTGGAGGAAAATCACGAATGCTGATTATAAAATTGAAATAATCTTCATACTTTTTAACTATAAGTTACAATATTCTTAATTTTAGGTAACGCATACCTAAAATTTAAGTATGAAATTACATAGTATAAATAATAAAATAAAGTTGCTTCTGTTCGCTTATATCTTTTAATCTACGCAACGGATTGTAATACATTTTTAGCAATAAATAGAGTTATTCAAGAGGAAGGTTTACATGTATAATACATGTACATCTGCGCGGAACCGGGGCGGGTAGCTAGTTGCTAAGAAATTTCATATACTACAATACAGAAAGTGGTATTAGACATTCTGAAACTCGCTAATCTAATGGGCTCAAAATATTTGAGGATAAATTAATGTTAAATGTGAAAGGAAAATATTTACAACGGATGTAACTCGTCATGCGTAGATTTGTAAAAGTATTTGATATACCACAAAATGTGTAATATAAAGTACCAATCAATCGATCTCGTTTAAAACACCAAAGAATAACTAGTCTAACTAAATTAAATATATATAATTCTACTAAAGATAATAATTCAAATTATTTCAGTACGAATTACTTAATAAAATATAAAGATATTAAGCTACAATGATTAATAACTATAATAATTATAAAATGCTGTGCAAATAACACGAGTAAAAAGATAATATACATTTGTACAAATGAAGTGAAATAGTGCACTAACTACACAATAAAATAACATGCTAAGATATCATATTAGCCTTATTAATATAATTTGAACAAATTGATGTCTTAATTTGTGCAAATTGCGCAGGCTATAAATTCCAAGCATCGTATTGCGTAATTCGTTCATATTAACAATAAATTGCATTTATATGATAGAATCATTGTAATACTAGTAGCGAAGTAAATAAATTAATAAAATTAGGAAGCAAGTACTCACTGTTCGCACGTGAGCGCGTATGATGAGGAGTGTGGCAACCTAAAGGACCAGAAAACGCAAGTGTTTAGAGCATGCTAGGTTAGGAAGCTGTTAACACTCCAGTTGGTTGTCTGTAGATGCATTATAGTCTAGCCCTTTATTGCTAACCTAAAGAAAACTTATTTGATAATCGTTTACAAAACGAGGTGGAAAGAAGAATCAGTGGAGATAGAAACGAAGAACAAACAAACAGTCAAGAGCCGAATCTTTATACATTTCTATTTAAATTGTCAATCAATATTACTATATTACATATTTTCCCCATAGTGTAAGGTGATCTAAAAATTATTGGAGTCATTGCAAATTTATGGAACATTTATAGCATTGTAAGAACTATCAATGAACTGTTCGTAACAGCTTTATCAAGCCCTTCACCATAATGCAATCAGTGCTAGTGCTACCATAAAACATAAACAGATTATTCAAACCAATGATAGTATTTTAATATTTATATATTAAAAGACATAGTATGGGGCGTATATACATAACTATAACATTAACAGAAACACTGAAGACCAATCAAATGTCAAATCAATTATCATTGGTCCGAAAAGAACTTTAATAATGAAATTCCGTACTATATATTCTATGACTAACCTTAAGTTGTTAATCTGTAGCTCGCGCTTTTTCGCCTGTGCTAGAAGATCCTCGTATCTTAGAGACAGTGATTCCACTTCTTTCATCATTGCTTCGTCTTCAGTGGCATCACATTCAGTTAGTAGAAGTTCAGATAAATGTTTCGCGAGTTCCAAAGTTTGACTAGGTTTTGTACCAGCTTTGGCAATTTCTTTGGCAGCCGTTGCCAGTTCATCGCTACTTGATTTTTCCACGGGTTGTTGTAGTAGAGCTGTTCGAAGAGCTTCTAAAGACTCTGATGTTTCTTTAACAGCTAAAGCCAGTTCCACTCGGTAAGTTTCTTTAGATGTTAATGTGTCTACCTGGAGAGCGGCATCCCATTTTAGAGTGTCCACCTGCAAAACAATTGTAGTAGGAATATTATTATACAAAACAATAGTTTGTAATTAAATAACGCAATGTAATAAATATATGCATACTTGAACAGCAGTATCGACGTCTCCTACCACTTCTGCTCGAGCTACATCGAGACGAGTCTTAACATCCGCATATAATGCACGATATTCTGCCACCATATCCGGGACGCCTGATACTGTTGATACCGTTGTTGAGAGGCGATCGGCTTCAGAAACATGCGCTTCGCACTCTCTGAGTTCTTGTTCGACGCCCTAAAAGTAAATATATTAATATTAGCAAATATATCGTATTGTAGTATTTAAACACAATCTTCTGAAGAATAAGATACTTACTTCTAATTCTTTAAGAGTAGTAGCTTTATCTAACGGTGTTGGAGCGAGATGTAAAGCTCTTGTTAATCTTACGTCGGCTTCAGCCAAAGCAACTACGGCCTTGCCATGTGCAGCGACAAATTGTCTATGTGCATCTGCTCCTGCTGCATCAACTCGAACTCTTAATTGTTGCCAACGACGAACTGCAGCGCGTAACCTTGCAACATCATCGGCACCTTCTCCACGTAGTTCTATTCCTCTAGAAGATGCTACTCTACTATAAGCATCTTCAAGCTTTTTAATATCTATTTCCAATGAATCCAAATCCTTAATAACAGATTTAGCTACACTTTCATCTTCAAGCTCACCGCGTTGTTTTCTACTTTCAACTTTTTCAACACGTTTCTCGATAGAGTCTAGTTTCTTTTCTACTTTAGGTAGCAATGAATTAGATAATTCTGCAGATTTGCGAATTTCTTTTAGAGCATTCTTACGATGTTCTGACATATCACAGATGTTCTTCCACTTCTTTTCTACAATGTCTACTCCGGTACGCAAATTTCTTAAATCAAAGTTGCCTTTGAGAACATCCGGGTCATTGAAAATTAACTCACAATGGTTGAGGACTTGTCCTACTTCTTCGCTTTCGTTTTCTATACTCTTTTGAATCTCATCGCGATCTCTAAACTTTTCATCAACTGCTTTGGATGTGAAATGTTCCAACACGACTTGCGCCGATAATTTAGATTCAATAGTATGTAGTTTTAATCTGATTTCTGTAAGCCGTTCTTCAAGTTTCAAAATTGTATCAAGTAACTCATTAATCTTTGCGATTCTACTTCTTCCTGTATCCTGTAGCTTCTGCCAACGTTCTTGTACATCTTTAAGTTGTTTAGATGTATTTTTACTATACGACTTCTCTTCTTTTTTAGACAGGTCTATGAGAATGTTACCAGTTTCAGAAAGCCACTCGAATTCGCGTTCTTTTAAAGCTGTTTCTGCTTGAATATCTGAATTAATCCTTCTAATTAAATCTTGAGGGTCAAGAGCTCCAATTTCAGTGCTCTGACTCGATGTTTCAAGTCGAGACTCTAGTGATGTTATCCAAACCGTAAATCGTAATAATCGGGATTCAAATATGGCGTAGACTTCTAAACGTTCTTGCAATCGGTGAATTATAATAGAAAGTTGATGTTCCAAATCAGCTCGTTGTTGTCGTAACTGCCAAATTCTTTGATTGACAATGCGGATATCTTGAGGGCTCAGACATTCTTTTAACTGTTCTTGAATAACGCTTAAAGCTTCAATTTGTGATTCAGTCTTTTCAATTTTTGTTTTCAAATCCGTGTATTTGTTTATGGCCTTCTTAAGCTGTGGTCGTGATAGTCGTACCTCGTCAGAGTATGAATTAATTTCATCTTGTGTTTGTGAGAACAGTTTAAGAAGATCATTTGTTAATGTATCATATTCACCAATTAGACCAAGTATTCGAGTTAAGAAATCTCGCCATATATCGAGACTAGCTTGCAAATTCTCAATTCTCTTTACCATACCAGCATATTCGATTCTCACTGATGCTCCATATGCTTCCTCAGTGAATTCGAGAACTTTCTTGAGATAAGTATGCAGTTTATCTGCTTGTTTCTTTCCTTCAGGTACTTTGTCAGTGAGATTCTGTATTTTGACTAGTGTTTTATTAATTGTTTTTATGTGTACATATCGGAGTTGAAGTTTTTCTTTTTCTCGCTCCATCTCTTTAAGCCAACGTAGTAGCTCAGTATTGAGTTCTCTATAATCGTCCCATGCAGCGATTCTAGCGCAGACCTCATCATGCCTCTCCACTATCCTCGCCAGGGTTTCGTTGTGTAGGTTTGTCATTATGTCAAACTTGTCAACTAGTTCTTTATTCTTCAAATCTTTATTTTCGTTCATAAGTATAGATCTTTGCGATGTAAGCAAATTTCTGTGTACTCTGCATAACCGACGATGTTCAGTTAGGTTTTCATAATCCGCCGGAACAGATCCAGATAGGAAGGATTGCAAGTCTATTAGATATTCATTCCATAGCCTAAGAGCAGTTGCAGCATCTCCTGACCGTACTAGAGCGGTAGAAAGGCGATGGTAATGGAGGAAGGTATCTCTGAACATAGCCTGCCATAATTCTAATATCCTGACAATAGAGTGTTCGTCAGATATATCTCGGTCGATCTCAGGTAGATCTTCTTTGCCTGGCACGAAATCTGCTTCACTTTTTCCTAGAGCTATTAAATTTTCTCGAAGTGCTATCAATTTGTCTTCGACGATTTCACCATCTTCGTGTAACGGAGTCAAGTCCTGGAATGAAATTTAACTATCAGTTGTCTTGACTACTAAAATGTTAATGTTTATTGGACACAGCTTTGTAAACAAGAATCATGATAATCATAAATCTTTTCAAATTAAGTTTTTTTTTATTAAAATTTATTTAATGTTTACACATATTTACATATAAATATATTGGGATATTAATACGGCATAAGCCATTAACTATAAAGTTGGCACTAGATATAAGTTCAAATATTCAAATGTCTATAAAGTTACTATAGGGTATCAAAAATTTGACCAAACATTTGCAAGAACTTGAGGGCACATAAATGTGTTCAAAGTACAAAAAGGCACCCAGCCTTGAATAAACTTCACCATGTTTGGCGAGTATTAATTTGTTTGTTAAAAATCTTTATGAAAATATCTTTATATTTGTATATTATAACTTTGAAGTTATATTTGATTATGGGTTAGCGGTTGAATGAAATTAATAATAACATATTGTATTATCATATCAGTGAGGTTAACGGTCTGGCGTTTATTGATTGTTCTACAGTCACCTTCCACAGGGAACGATACCGTTTTACCATTAAATGCATTACAATAGATACTAGTAGAATAATTAGCGTTAATTATTTTAATTATGTTTCTGGTATGTTTGATTACGACAATAACCGAAAACTTTTCAATATAAACGGATTTAAGCCTACAATTTTTTATTGACAACGCTGCTCATGTACATATGTTGCTTTTATTTCTAGTTAGAGCAACACGCAAGTTTCTTGCTCGTTCTTCTTGTTATGATTTTGCGTTCCGAATGAGTGGTACAATAAAAAAATGTGACAATCCAAACGTACTTGTATTACGTTTATTTAAATAAAGATTATTTCAATTTATTTCACACAAGACAAGTGTATTTTTGTCAATGTTCAATTTTTATCAATTGTATCAAGAAACGCGAGACTGAGATGAAGAGACTGTGGCTCTATGGCTAGCAATGTACCATGTCAGGTCGAGTTCCAAGCGGTCACCACTGGAAACTATAGTGGTTAATGCTTGGAGAATTCACCACCATTACCTAATTGACCCAACTGTATGTTCATATGATAGGATGAGGCTTATCCTATTGGATGCAGTGATAGGCTGGTTCACCATTCCATTGTCATCTATTAAAAACTATATAGAAGACTTTACTTCGAGGATATATCACAATTAACTTACCTGTCTCATATCGCACAGCTTCTCCTTTGCATGAAGGGCCTTTGCCCTGGCTAGCTGCCTGGCTTCACCAAGGTCCGCCAGAACCTGTACTGCACCGGCTACCAGCTGCATTCTCCTGGCCAGTGCATCTGCATCAGCTTGTAGAGCTCGAGAACCAGTCTCGGCAGCTACGCGGGCAGCTAGACACCGGAGTTCTGCTACCCTGGACTCCTGTTCTAGGCATGCCTAGATAAAATAAAGATATTTTTAAGTAATAATCAAAATGCGTATAGTTTTGGGACTTAAGTCTCATTATATAGAAAGAAAGAGATCTCTGGAATAGCAGGTATGCTAAAGATCTAATATCTTTTTATTATTAGGCGGTCTGTGTGCTTCATTCAAGTTTGTAAGTATGAATGGATGTATTGTTACTCTTTCACGCAAAAACTACTGAATGTATTTTATTGAAAGTTTACAATAATATAGATAATATATCTAAAACTAATCCTGAATAATGTTTAGATTATATATTAAATATATATAATATTTAAGTTTGTTATTGTCCAAAAATGGGAGTTGTGTCGTATCAAGAATTAAAGAGCATGATGGAAGATCGCGGAAAGTGGCAAGAACTCCACCGACAAGAGCGTAACTCTTAAATTATGAATGAAGTACTGAATTGTCCAATATTATTAATTTGTAATCTTGTTATTGTAAATTTTTATGTTTACTTTGTTAGTTGTAGTTTAGAATTTAACTTAATATGCTATCGTCGTTGTTGATCTCATATTCTATTATTTTACTGATAAAGGCTATAACAGAATAGCAGACAGGGTGGACTCACTGAGTTATAGACCGTTTTGTCTCATTCATTAGTTTTAAATTATATTATTGTACTGTCAACAGTTATATTGTGTGAAAAGTTTTTGTTTGAGCCAAATAAAGATTATTATTATTATACTCTACTATACTCTGATGATGTACAGCGGGCATAGTGAGTAGAGTAGAGTAAAATATATTTTTTGGACGTGATCCTTATTCAGACGATTTATACTCCACGCGTTATATATACACTTGTTTCCTTCATCGAAAATGCAGTACAAATAGATAAAAGCGTATCATTACTATGTGCCATGTAAAATAACCATATTGCATTATATTTACTCGTATATGACTCAGTCGAAATTAAGTCTTAATTGTAATCAATTAATATAAAGAAAACAAACCAATATTAATAACAGAAATGAGAGAGATCTGTTGTTGGCGGTGCAAATACTTTTTATTAGTAAAAAATAAATTTAAGACCTAAAATGTACAATATACATATATATGTATATAGGTATACTAGCTTACCCTGCAAACGTTGTTTTACCATATCAATTAAAATCATTATTAAAAAATTGGGGTTCATGCTAGAATGGTGAAAATTTAGGGTTGTGTGTATTTTTCAATCCTAAATAATAATACAATGAAAATAAAATATTATGTCGAAAAAAAATATATATTTAGGGGCGGATATCCCTTACCACTTAGGAGTATGAAAAATAGATAATAATACGAGTTTAGCTATAACTTAAGTAAGTAAGCATCAAATGAATAATATAATAATTGCAATATTTGTATTCTAGTACCCGTTTGTTGTAAATAGAATAGAATAGAATAGAATAGAAAATCATTTATTCAAATAAACTTACATTGAAGCACTTTTGAATAGTCATTACATTTTTTTTAATCTACCGCTCGTTCGAAAGCTGTCTCATCACAAGAAGAACGAGCAAGAAACTTGCGTGTTGCTCTTTTAAATAATTTTATTATTACTTTACATTTTTAAGTTTAAGTGTGTGAATACAAACCACCAATTAGCACTAATTCAATTAAATACTCAAAAAGAAAAAATATTGAATACATAACCAACTGGTTAAACAATTAATAAGAGGAAATCAGTCATAGTGATTAGAGCAGACCAGTCCCTACAAGCAGCACCCGTTCACGAGTATGACGGATGAGCCAAATACTTAAATAATAAAACTTAGGATGTTGTGAGTTTGTTTTGGTGGCATTCCTATGGTCATGAATATAAACTGCGCAGTAATAAATTCAAATTTGTAGTCTCCAAGTTGCTACCGTGAATGATAATTATGTTGAGGTCTTCTATGACATATAAATAATTAAATTTCTGTATATTTTACTTGTTACAAGATTAACTTCACGGTCATGGACGTTTAGGTTCTAAAGTCCGGATTCTTAGACGTATAAGAATAACATTGTCTATCGGTAAACTAAGGTATAGTTTATCTACTCGTATGACCCCATATTGGGTTCCTCATGTATCGTGGAAGTCAAAACAGAAGAAATTAACATAATAGTTAGACAATATATAAAGTATGTATATTTCTTGGGAATATATCCCAAGAAAATATTCATATTATCTTATATATAAAATTCTCGTGTCACAATGTTAGTTACCATACTCCTCTGAAACGGGTTGACCGATTTTTATGAAATTTCATATGCATATTCAGTAGGTCTGAGAATCGGCTACTATCTATTTTTCATACCCCTAAGTGATAAGGGTTGTCCACCTCTAACATTATTTTTTTATTTTTAGGCAAAACTTTTTATTTATATTTTTTATAAGATTGTAATAAAAAACATACAACCCTAAATTTTCACCCTTCTATCACCAACCCCTATTTTTATATAGCGTTATTAATTTATATGGCAAAACAACGTTTTCCGGGACCGCTAGTATATAGATAAGTATGAGTGTTTATTTGTATTAATCATTTCTTCCGATAAAATGAGTTGTGTCACAGTGAGTTTTAAGATCATCTTATAAATCAATATCTGTATTTCCATCGATATGAGTTTATGAGTTTTCCTTCCAATAAAACGTGTTCCCGGTGAAGTACAATCTCGGATTCTTCAAGTTTATGGTAAATAGATATCTTCTGGGTAAGCGCGCTACATCCTAGATTTAACCATAATTTCCCATCAGATGAGGTAACCAACATTTCCCATCAGATGAGATAAGACCAAGCGCAAACGCATTAATAATAATAATAAAAAAAAAGTTTTAAGATCATCTTAATACAATATCGAGCAATGTCGTCCGGAATTGGAAATGTTTAGAGATTGCATTTGATATGACACAAATGGAGCGTGCGATTCGCGGAGACTAGATGATTCTATGAATCTGAATTATCTCTCTTTAAATCATTGTATGGGATCTAAATAATATAAGAAAAATCGAGTAAAATTTCGTACAAGTCATCTACCTGTTTTATTAAAATGCCTGCATATAAGTATTCTCTCTTTAAATCATCGTATGGGACCTAAATAATATAAGAAAAAATAAGGTAAAACTTTGTACAAGTTATCACTTGTACAAAGTTTTAATATAAGTAAAAAAAAATAGACATAATAAAAGAATATTGAAAAAAAAAGTTAATCATGCAGTCATATTATAAACACCAATGTTTGTTAATATGAATTAAAATGACTGCATATATAAAATAATAGATAAAACAAAGAATATTAAAAAAAAAGTTGCATCATACAGTCATATTATAAACGCGAAAGTTTGTTAGTATAAATGGAATGATGTTACTTTTGGCGCAAAATCTACAGAACGGATTTTGATAAAACTTTACTATAGTCTATGTGTTATTCTAACGCTATATTAATGATATAGCTTATACATCAGAATTACACATAGGCTATATATTTTTTTATGATTATTATGTACCATTTTAATTAACGGGTTATTACAATTACGTTTTGTTATGTACTTTCAGCGTAACAACAATTTATAAATTGGGAGAAATATAAAGAAAAATAAGTAAGTGTGATTCAGACGAAGTTGCAGTTAAGTAGTATTTTAATTATTTATTAATTTTGAAAAACTCGATTAATAATTCACTACACAATTGACTATTCGCGGGAAATAATTAATTATATATTTTTTTCTTAATAAATTCTTTCTTTAATATATTCTTGTTCTTAAGGTACTTTATTTTGACTACAAAAACAAATGATCACGTTACCCATAGCTGATAAGCATGAGCTTCGTCATCTTGCTGCTGAACCATAAAAAATATACTTTGTGTAAACAATTTTGTATAAAACTCCATAACATACATACAACCATTTTTATGGTTAGAATAATATTCCTACACAATTACTGTCTAACAAAAAAATAAACCTGGTTTAGCAGCAGTAATAATCCATTGACCAAAGTAGTCCTTATTATGTTAAACCTAAAGTTACACCTACGTTACTTTAAGAATGGTTTTATCCTTCATCGTTTAGACCCCGTTTCGTCCGAGTTTTAACAGATTTCCTGTATAAGACCGTTAGTGTTTATTTAAAATAAAATTATTCTAGGTCTCACACAATAATAAATAATTAAATTAATAAAGAAAAAATTTTATATATTTTTTATTACAATTATTTCGTTTCACGGCTCTGGATGTAAATTATTTTACGCCCGACATTCCTAGCTTAGAGTTGCCGCGTAAATTCGAATTTGGAAGACACGTGACATCTTGTTTGTTAGGCATACATGTTACCTTCAAAGTATTTAAATAGACGCATTCGTAGACTAATTCAACCACAGATTATGTATTTAAATAAACAAGTGTTATCAACAGACGGTTTTAGTTCAAGGTTTCGTTACTGTTTATCAATTACGTTACGATAAAATTATAAAGATCACCTCCCTCCGTTTTGAGCGATGATGGCATGTCTATTACTGGATATGTGGCGCGGAGTATTAGAGAAGTTAGTCAGGCTTATTCTGACACTTTAATTGAGCAATATCTGTATAGTCGTATCTACTATATATATGTATATTATTTTTTAAGATTACGGATACTGATTTGACTATTTTCTTATAGTCGTATCTATATATTATGGACGGATTACGGATAGTAATTTGACTATTCTCTTTTAACAAACTTACAATACCATACGCTGGTGGTCACTCTATTCCCTTCTATCACCATAATATGATTTTAAACCGTTTCTACACTTTTGAAACATGTATGTACCTCATTTGAAAAAAATAAGAGCTAAGAGTCTTGGCAGTTCTTCTTAGTTCTCGAAAATGCTTTGAAATATCGTATGAGACTATAATCTAAATAAAATTGGAGTGTCTGTTTGTAATATTGAAATAACCGTCCTTTATTACATGCATATCAATATAAATACGGTACATACACCAATATAAAATTTTTTACAATTTT